TTGTGCTCCACAAAGCTGAGCAATATAAAGTTGCAAAACATTTTTAAAAAGACATTTTTTAAAGATAAAATACTGAAGTTGATCCGATAAAGTGAAACAAAACGTTTAAGAATGGATTAACTGTTGCTTGTTTGTTTAGAGTTGGACAAATATTCACTGCACTTCATTCTGCAGGTTTCTTCTACAATTCATTTAGCAGACGCTTTTACCCAAAGTGACGAACATCAGAGAGTAAGAACACGAGCAAGGATCTAGAAAAGAGGAAACAACGTTAATATGTCTGATCGGACAAACAGGTGCTGACGTACAAAAAGCACAACATCGACAGCTGTTCTTGAGAGTTTAATGAGCATCAAAACCATCCAAAAAACCACTGTCCTATCTCTACAATAAAGGCATCAATAGGCCAAAAATGAATCTTTAAAAACAATAAACATAACAATAATTATCAGAAAAAAGTCACATCATCCAAATGATATTTAGAAGAACATTTAGAAGAATATTTAATATTTGATAACTCATATTTCACAATCTAAGATAGTATAAATCTGCAATCTAACTGGCAAATAAAAAAGCTAATAAACTCGTCTTCTTTCTTTCAGTTTCCAGATGTTATCCGAGTATTTACGCTTTGAAAACATTCCTCACAGTTAACCGTCCGGGCACAAGAAGGCTGTAAAAGTCTGTAAAGACAAATAAAAACATAGTAAAAGCATTTATTGCGAGCAGATTATGGTTTTGTTTACATCCTTTTATCCTTAATTTGCCCTCGGTGCTAATCACTTGTGACATTGGAACATTTGTTCCGAAGCAAAGCTCGACAATTTTCATGCGTATAAAGTAGATTTTTTTAAATGGGCGTTCATTTGTGGACGTCAGAGTGTAAAAAGCTCAGCGGGGAACTGGGGAAGTGTCCTCGGCGGACCGTATTTAGAATGATTCATGGCAGCTGCCCTTGTGGCCACGGAGCATGATCGCAGCCGGGAATATTTAGCCCACCATTCGCTGAGCTGTAAGCAAGATGGAAATAAAAGATTTTTTGATCATTACTGTGAGCCAGAAGTCCACACCACCAACTGGGAGAGAAATGAATTCCCCCAGCGCTGTCAGCCCTGAGTCATTCCTTTTGTTCCTGAGAAAGACATTCCTCAGTCTTTGTACCTTTTTTTTTCTTTCCAGGAGGTCTGTGGGGGAGGGGGGGCTTTGTTACAGACTTACTCCTGGCAGGTCACACAATGACAACGTATGTACTTAGATTTCACAGACTTGGCGAGGAAAATCATTTATTCTTAGCCGCAATTTTGGCGCATTGTGTGCGGCTGCAGCTGGGGAATACGGTGTAACCTGTTTGTGCTCACACTCGAGCTCTCCGGTAACAACACCTCCATCTTCAGGATTTTGGTTTTGTCTCCGCGCACGAGGCTTCGTTCAACCGCGACGGCTGTAGCTCGGTCAAAGAGTTTGATGTACTAACATTCAAAGGTTGATTTTTAATTGTGGTGATAACTTCAATATAACTTCATGTAGATCTTGTTCTATGCATTTTATTGGCTCATCGATGGGCGGTGATGATTTTATGATTTATTTTTTAATCTGTATAAAATTCTAATATTTATCGCCTGTATCATCACACGTCAGTGGTGAAGATGAAAACAACACCATCCAAAAAAGAAAGGAACTTTAAGAAATACATGTACGTCTACTTAATGAAGCAGCAACCTCAGATGTTGAAGAATGATGCGAAGACAGACGTGCAGACAGACGTGCAGTTCCTCCCGTGTCCACTGGCCGAAAACGCCTGTTAGGTCCGATGTTGAAATTCACCATCGATTTTTACAACTTGAAACATTTTTTTTTCTCACTTTAATGCAATGTTCGTTTACAGTGTTCACTCACAACAGTGACTTCAGAATGCATTGCAACATTTTATTTTTTTTAAATCAGGAACACAACCAGAAAAAACACAACAAAACAGGACAAGACAAAGAAAAACACAAAGCAACGAAAGAAAAATCATATTTATAATTATAATTTAAAAATAAGGGGGGATGGGTTGAGGAGATTGAGGGGGGGGGGGGATTCAGCTTGAAATATGAACAAGGTCAGTGTTAATTGCACATTTTTTATTTGTAAAAACTATACAGGGGGTTGAATTCACTTTAGAGCATTATACAGCACCAAAGAGCAACTCAGAGTGCTGTACACAGTGAAAAAACAGAGCATTAAGAACATTATTAAACAAGAAATGAGACATTAAAACACAAAATATATTCAAGTTGAAGCCCAACAGTTTGTTTTGTCACATTTATACCGTGAATCCAGAAAACACTCTCCTGCTTAGGCAAGGAGACTTTTCTCCATAGGTCGCTTTTTTAAACAAAGCTTAAGAAACACCTTCAAGTCGACTCCTTAGTTGGACTTTTTTCTTTTTTTTTAAGTCATTTAGATGATGTTGTCCTGTCATTAGAGACATGGTGCTGAATCTAAAACGTGTTAAATGAGAGTGTTAACTTTGTGCTTTCCAGTCGTCAGTCACTTCTTTTTACACTTTGTCTCGTTTTATTTTCAGTACATTTGAAAGCTCCAAACACATTCATGTCATTTTTAGAGAAAATAAAATCGATAATGTTTGATTAGATATTATGTATGACCGCTTCCTTATCGCGGTGGCCGGTTGTCCTGCATGCATGAGACTCAGTTATCCATGAACAGGTTGATATAGGAAGTGAAACACTGATGGAGATTATAGACTTTTAATACTCAAATAAATCAAGATGTAAAGATGTAATTTATTTGATGTTTTATGTGTTTGTTTGGTCTCCTAGCTGCCCTCTGATATCTGGACTGTGCGTTCCAGTGTGGAGCTTATTTATGTGTTCCTGGGAGGAGGTTATATATGCGTCAGCAGCAGCTCTGTGACAGTTTCTTTCAGCTTCCTAGTTTATGTAGCCGGTGGTGAAGCATCCCTGCTTCATATCCTTCAGTGAATACGCTCTCTCTCTCTCTCTCTCTCTCTCTCTCTCTCTCTCTCTGACGCACTTATGAAACCAAAATGGGAGCGTGTCCATCTTCAGCCCCGTCCACTCAGAGTATAGAATGTCAACAAACTTACCCCGAATCGTGCGAGTTTTAAAAAAATTCACTGTGTCTTTAAGCAGGAATGTATTGTTTTTCTACAGCCACAGCCGCTCTGGATATGGCTTTTAACACCGAGAGCACATCTGGTTTCTGGACAGTGTGATCCTAACTGAGCGTTGGCAAGCTGGTAGCTGCTGACCACCAATTCCTGCACAATTAGTGACCAGAGGAGCAGCGCACGCCGCTGAAGGCTCCGTTTTGTTCCTCTCGGAAACAGTACGCCGAAGGACCCCCGGCCTTACACGTTTAGCAGCTGAAAGCGAGAGGATTGGCACGGTAGATTACAACTCTGTGTTTATACTCCAGAAAAAAAAAACCCTGCCTCTTACAATATCCTGCTCTGGCTTAAACCAAGGTCTGGAAATCTCGTGCAGTGCACACACCGGAGTAGATCACCTCCTCCTCCTACCCCACCTCCTCCTCTTCCTCTGCCAACACAAACAGCAATTACGACTGGCTCAGACGTAGCCACTGAAAGAAGTAGGTTCTTGTCTGGAGGAAAAGCAGCCAATTAGCAGCATTGTTTCGAAAAAAGGCAACTGAGATTCCTTTAATTTAAAGTGGCTCAGTTCTGCTCCACAGGGGGGGGGGGGGGGGGGGGGGGTGAAGTCCTTCATGACCCGATGCCACTGAGAGGATCAGCGTGTTAATTTCACCTCACTGTGGGATCCTCTGACATCTGGCTCTGCCACGGAAGCTGGAAAACATCTTTAATATTCTCATGGCGAACTCAGGGACATGTGGAAAACATCCCGAGACCTTCGTCCGTAATGACTGAAAAACTGAAAAACTGAAGGCCTGGCTTCTTCTTCTTCTTCTTCTTCTTCTTCTTCTTCTTCTTCTTCTTCTTCTTCTTTTTCTTCTTCTTTTTCTGTTGTTTTTTTGTGGCATGACAGCAAAGTTTATACCCGTGGTTTGGTTAGACACCTCTGTGAAAAAGAAGAACAGCACTTTTGTCTCCTTGTGTGAAACATGAAAAACAAAGCAAAATAAAAAACAACAACCTTCTTTCAGCAGGAACAAAAGCAGTAAAGCAATATTTCCAAAGCAGCAGTTTAAGATGTTTGGTATGCTGCCTCACCAAATTATTGATGTTCAAAAGAAACATTTAAAAACAGATTGTTTGTTTTCATATGGAGGCCAGACCTTTGCAAGTGTACGCATTAAAAAATGAAAGTTTCCCACAAAATCTAACAATTATGTTGATTGTGAGCAGCCAATGAGCCAAACATCTGAAAACAAACTTGTGGCAGATGTAAATACATCTATGTGCACAAAAACCACAACAGGGTGGAAACTTTTTTTTTTTTTTTTTTTTAACCGAGGTCATCAGTGTAATAATTTATGGCTTAAATGATTATTTGCAGCAACTGCACATTGGTCCAGTAATGCTACAAGTCCTGTATTGTTGGGCCGGCTGTAAGAGTACACCCTCAAGGCTCAGGAAAAAAAATGTCTTCTCAATGTGGCAAGAAAGTGAATCCCCATGGTTTCAGGGCAAGAGTAGCGCTGTAAAAACATGAGTAACCAGGAGAATCAGAAACATATGAAACCTCCTGTTCAACATTTATAATATTCCCTTCTCGTATGAACAAGGCCGTGATTATGCGGCGCTGGTGGTTTGAGCTGACAAAGAGGATGACTAAGCCATATTACGGGACGTTCTGTGCCCACTCATCCTCAGGACATGAGCCCACAGTTCTCCTCAGCAGCTGTAAAACACGACCGCAGCGCTGTCAGGGGGCGCGCTGAACAATCTGACAGCACCAAGGATCTTTGTTTCCTGGCTTTTTTTTTTTACCTGAGGTGAAGAAGCCTGTGTGTGTGGAGGCCCTGAATGTCTCTGTTGTGTGTCCTTGCAGATGGGGGTCTGTGTGGTGGACTCCGCAGTAGCCGGCCTGGGAGGCTGCCCGTACGCTCAGGGCTCATCTGGCAACGTTTCAACAGAGGATGTTCTCTACATGCTCCACGGCATGGGCATTGAGACTGTAAGTGTGCGTCTGTCAGACCTGCAGCTGTACTTTACGTCTCCTGAATCTCAACAAATCATCCAAACTCATATAATCCCCCCCGAGTTAATTTACATAAACAGACCGCTCTGCAAACACACGGGCTCTGTAAATGTTTGTTTTATAATATCAGTGGTTTTTGCACAACTTACACAAACCCACAGAGCTGTTGGCTCGTCTCTGGAACTATTTATATAACAATCCCTACCCCTGCTGGACAAATGTAGTCACTACAGTTAAGTTTTCTATCACCTGTTGCACATGTTCATTTCAATCCATAACCAGCTTAACTTAAAATTAACAATCAATGAATCAATGAATCTTTAGTTGTATGGCACAGATTCATAACAAATATTATCTCAAGACACTTTGCACAAAAACTAGACCATACTCTTTTTTACATTATTTACAAAGACCCAACATGAATCCACCATGAGCACAGCACTTTGCAACATTTAGGACACTTAACAGTCAGCAAAAGCGTACATGCATGCAATGATATTTTCTCTCTTAACATATTGTTATACAACAGCGAGCATAAACCCATCAAGTCTCTCTTCTAAAAAAGCAGTCAACATGCAATATCATTAGTAAGAGTAACATTTTGAACAGTTTCCAAACTTTCATGGATGTTTGTCTTGTTTCTAAAGTTTTAAATGGGCTTGCCCCCCCCCAGCCCCAGAAAAAGCAAAATATCAGGATAAATACCAGAGCATGAACCAGGGTAGACTGCACATGTATTAGTGCTGAGGCGTAGAACTAAATTTAATTAAAAATTCCTGGAACAAATTACCAGTACATATCAGGTAATGTGAAAACAACATAACCTTTAAAAGAAAACTCCAGCATTGGTTGAAAAAATAAAAATCAGTCTCATACTCATATAAATAATATCTGTCCTCCCCTTCTGGTGCCCGTTCCCAGAGGGGGGGGGCCTTCTGGCTCATCCTGCAATTTGAATGAGCTGATTACATGTGGCTCTGTTATTTCTTATGCGACAACTGTGTCCAATTTGTACGTACAATTGTCTGTGAGTTTTTTCTGTGTGCTGTTCTGTAGGCTGTCCTCGGAGGTTTCCTGTCATTATAAATCTGTCTGCCTTAGGACAACGGATGAAATTTAGCCTGTGGGCTAGCCCCGGCATATTTACATGGATGCTATTCGCTTCTATGTTGATAGATTTGCACTGTCCTAATCAAATAAATAACTAATAATTAAGAAATTAAAAACAAGTTACAGGAGCATGCAAACACTTCCTTTAAGAGGCAGAACCAGACTCATGTTGAACACACGTCTGCTGAAGGGAATAGATGGCGATGAAACACCTTGTTGACTTGACGTTTTAACTGATTGTGTCTTTTTTATTGTTTTTTATCTTATTTGCAGGGTGTGAATCTTCCCAAAGTCATAGAAGCCGGCGAATTCATCTGCAATCATTTATGTCGCAAAACAAACTCCAAGGTGGCCCAGGCGCTAAACAGGACAACGTGATGTGTTTCTGTACAAAAGACGAGGGGAGAGTTAAGAGTTGAAATCTTTGACTTTTATTTGTTTTTTCCTCCAAAGTGCTTCCCCTGTTGTTGCTGCGTTCAGAACTGTTGCCTCTGCTGCTGTGTTTTAAAGGATGCTGTTCCTCATCAAAGTATTTGGGATTGTTTTTTTTTGTGTCCTAAATCCGCTAGTTGTTGATCCATTATGTAGCTTTCAATTCAATTTTTATGTTTTTTATTAGAATCCGTAGTGGAGAGACAATTATGATCTACTGGAACATCGGATTGTTTGTGAGGTATTTTTGTTTGGCTTTTTTATGGTCAGAGGTTGTGAAAGTAAACTATGAAGGAGGTATTAATTTGGGATAAAATGTCCAAATGAATGAGGTCATGAGTTACTGTATAAGTGGCCTTATACTCATCTCTTTGCATTAATAAGGCGCTGACGCTAACTGCAGAAGATGTCGGTCACTTTTGTTTTGTTTTGTTGCTCAGCGGCTCCAATGGAAAAAGAGAAAAAGAAAAAGTACCCGGTGCATCGTCTTCTTTCTGGACTCTGATATTGATCCATGTTAGACGAGGAGACAAGCTCCAAACACACAAGAAGCCCTTTGTTCTGTTTTTAATAAGAACATCTCCTCATACTTTCAGCTTTGTTACCCGCTCAGATCCAGTGTGAACAACAATTGAAGACAATTCAAGGGGTTTTTGATCTCAGGTTAGCCAAAGACGATTGAAGAAGAGCCCATTGATCGTACTATTGCCATTAAAAAAAAGTGTAACCATGTCATAAGCTTCTCCTCAGGAGGATGTTGTGTGTTAGTGTTTCATGTAATGTATGCTTTCATGTGTCTCCTGTGTCATCTCGTGCTGTCTTTAAAATGAAATGAAATAAAATAGATTATACAAACGGACTGTTTCAGTGGACTTTAATGAGATTTTTTTCAAAAGTGAGGTGTCAGTGAACACAGATGTGTGATGTACAAGTGAAAACTAGTAGCAGATAGTTGTTGTTTTATGTTCGCAAACGCTGGAGGAAAGAAATGCTGCTGTTTCTCGATCAGTCAGTTAATTGTCATTGCCATCATTACATCCGAGTAATAAATCAGACTAATAAGAAGGAGAAGAAGAAAGCCAGCTGGACTCCGGGAAAGAAATAAACTTGACTCTTGTGAATAGAGAACACAATAAAATGTGTAATTAAATTTGCATAAATGTATTAGGATATGATAATTGCATATCCTCATTGGTCCTCCTTCATCATTTATGCATGTCATTCTCCATCAGACAAGATTTACTTTCTTTATTGAAGATTTACTTTTATTGATCCCCACAAGGGAAAATTTCAGTTTTTACACTCTGTAGTCATGCAACACACACATAGGCTGAAGTATATACACATGCACACAAACAGGATCCTATCGACATGCACTAAGGGAGACACCGGGACTTGAACTGGCGATCCTCCTGGTCCCAACCCAAGTCCCTACAGACTGAGCTACTGCCGCCCCAGTTAGATGATCACATGTTATCCACGCTGCTGATCGCTCTGGTGTTAGGAAAACACGTTTCATGTCTCAATCCAAAGTGTGTTTTTCTCACTGCAGGAAAGTTTGAGTAAAAAGCCGAAGCACTTTTATCTGCGTCTCCATCACAGCCTGGGGATTAGCTTTGACGCATTATTTTTCTTAGTGGATTTTTTTTGGATTCAGACTTGGTGATGGAGATGGAGAATCTTTTTCATCTCATGATCATAAAACAAATGACTGAAGTGATGTGATGTGTGCTGAAGCTCATCTAAGGGATGACCTTATTAGTTTTGGTTGCCTGGTACATGAAAAGCTGTTTCAGACATGCACTTGCAAACCAATGTGTAAACAGTCATTTCAGAAAATCGTAGCATCTCCTATATGTCTCACAACTTGAACTTGCGCGGCCTTGTCTGGGATAGCCAATGCACCCCCATTAAGTTTCTGGGGTTTGATTATATTTCTTATTATTTTCTTTACATTTCAATATTAACCGAGATATAATACTATACAAAGGAAAAGTTTTTTAGAATGAAACTAAAACCGACTCGTGATTAAATTCAACCAATGGCGCAGCACGCATTGAACTCTGGCCTTAATCCACTTCCCCCCTATAGGCAGAGCCAACTTTCAAATGTTCACTAGTTTGGCATCTCGGATCGTCTTGTATTCTTTAAACCCCCACTGCAGAGACTCAATCAAAATGTGCGAAATAGGCGATGATGAAACCTAGTAAGGCTCATACAGGTGCTGAGAAAGATTAGAAACACAAGTCACTAAATGAAAAGCCGAAAAATGGGGACGAGGAAGGACACCTGGCCGAATCTTCTGCGGAGGATTCTGGCATTGCTGATGGTCAGTCACCCTCGTGAGGATCCAAGGAGAGTTTGAGAACAATACAAACAAAACAAAAACAGAATGTTGAGGAGACTGCCCCGGACCAGTAAGCTGGCACTGCTGGAGATCAAGACCCGGACAGTGAATAAACATGGATGCTTTACACCCTAAAACCATAACAACAGGCTTGCTTGATAATGAAGACATCAAAACCTATAGGTGCGCTTTTCCTGGCAGCTGGGTATTCATTTAATGCATTTTGTGTGTGAGGCACACCTTGTGAATTCTTGGAGTTTTGTTGATTTATTAGCTGAAATGTTGGTAACTAGCAGCTGAGTTTGTCTGATTATAGTCTGAGGGGGATGTGTGCATAAAAATGAAATTTATACTTTTGCGTGTGTGTGCAGGACCTGTCACTGGATCAGTTGCACTTAATTGTACATTCAGAAGTGTGTTTATAGTAGGCAGGCTTGATTTGCCTTCAGCTTACCTTTCAAATGTCACCGGACAGGTGTTTGCGCTCGCTGCTTGTGTGTGCGTCTGTGCGCATAAAGGTGTGTTTGCGCATCAGCAATCCTCTATTTGAGAGCACCATCACTCGAAAGATGGGCAACCCCATTGTGTGGGGTGAAAGGTTGACTATGACATGTAGTGCTTTAATGATCGGAAAACTAGAGGAGCGCCATTCAAGGCCATTTACACGCGATCCCTTGTTTGCCATCAGTCCTGCAAGTATACTGTCCAGATGTCAAATTGATATTGAGATTTTCTTATTCAATCTTTCCCAGTTTGTCTTTTGTCGAAGCTTTCCATCCATAAGCTCTGTATTTGCAACTTTGACTACCTGATCATTACAATTCTATTCTTGCTTTCATGTGTCTATATGGTTTTGGGATTTTGCCTTTTTTTGGGCTATAGGCAATAACTTTTTGCATATCTTACAGAAAACATCTTTCCTTATGCTTCAACCCTCTCTGCTGAGTTTTTACAAATACAGCTTGTATCTTTGCAGAATCTGGAAATTAAGTAAAAAAATGTTTACCTGCTGGTCTTGAAAAGTCAGTGAAACATCGAAGTCATTCACATTCATTCACTTGAAACCAATACCTGAAAATGACATTTCATGGTATCCTTTTGGTAGCTTTTTAGATGTTCAGTTAACACTATACGATCTCCTGCCTTCCAGCTAAAGAAGTTTAATTGGGAACAATGTGCTGTTGTTTTTCTCAGAGCAGCCGTCACCCAAACTAAGTGAAGCAGGATCATTTTGAAGCCGAGTGTCACCCGAAGGCTTTCAGGTTAGTCCTGCAGGCGCTTGCACAAAAAAACAAATTTCAAGAGGAAGCTGCGTAATAACCAAACCTCTTAAGACATGTTCTTTGGGAGAAAAATTGCTAAGTAAACCAGTAAAGGTGTAAACATCTCTGAACCCCCTTGAGGGGAAATCTAGGGTGAGAGGATGCTCAAACTCTGAGCGGGACATGAGGAGAAGATGTAAAAGAAAATAAGAGGCTGGAAAGAAAATTGTTCATTGATATCAAAAAGAGTGATGAAGAATGTCAAGAACACTGTCTTCACTTTGAAGCAGAACAAAGAAAATAAATTAGAGATGTTTTTCTTTTAAACACAAAGAACATTCGGAGAAAAGCCAGACCTTCACTTTCCTTCCTACACTTCCTCTTCTTTATATACATCCTACATATGCACAGCAGGAATTCTCTGGCTTTCAACCAGCGGGGGGGGGGGGTTTGGATATGGGAAGTGTGTTTGCATGTGGCTGTTAGTTTACTTACAGTTATCGTGTGTGTGTGTGTGTGTGTGTGTGTGTGTGTGGGTGCAGCTTCCTCCCACGGTCCAGACATGATGACGGTGAGGTGAAAGATGGAGTCCAAACAGCGCGTAGCTGTGAAGCCGGTGCAGCTTCACCTCTCGTCTCCTAAATATTATTCCTTCTGTGGCATAAAAATATAAAATGATCATGACATTTACATTATTTCAGAGGCAGAATACACAATATGCTGTCATATAATGGGCATTTCATGTGTAGCAGTTTTATAAAGAGACAGCTAATGACTGTCCACACAACCCTTTTTTTTAAAAGGTCATTTTTTTTTGCCTTCATTGGATAAGACAGTAGAAGAGAGACAGGAAATGTCTCCTGAAAAAAACCCTGGCTCAAAGTCCATGACAAATATGAGAAAGGACATCAGCTAACTTCAGATAATAATGATTTATTGTAACAACGTAAACTAAAGACAGGCGAACATCAAACATGGAGTGTGTCCGTCAGTAAAGTCAGTAGAGTGGATGTGGATGTGTAGCATAAATGAAGTGTGGGTCGTTGTGAAGCAAACTGGAACAATGTCCTAAATATGCAATGGTTGAGGATGTGAGTCCATGTGGCATGTGAGAGAGAGAGCGAGAGCCACCCTGGGGTTGAGCAACAGGCCCAGGTGCTCCAAATTGGATCAGTCCTAGTATTCTAGGAATCAGAATCAATAGCCTGGTATTCAGTCAAGGCGGTGACCGTCACAACATGCAGCAAAGGGTCAAAGTCGGATTCAAATCCACAGCCACTGCGACAAGGATAATAGCCTCTGTACCCGCTAGGCTACAGCTCCTGCAGTTTCTGTGTGTTCTGTGAGTGGGTGTGATGATGAAGGTATACGTGCATGTAAGAAAGTGACACCTTGATTAAAAAATGCTACCATAGCGTGACACGATGGACGTTGTCGAACGCTCTGTGCATTTTCTTGTCCGACTTCCTGTCCGGGTTCTTCTGTTCTGTCAGAATATGCGGTTTTAGTGCTGACTTCAAAACAAATGTGCCCCTCACAGGGATGATAAAGTTGAATAAACAAAGAAATCAGATTCAATCCAACGTCTTCCTCCTACTTCTTGAGAATTCTCTGAGTCTTTCACCTGAAGCCCTCGGCTTTTAATTCAACATTTTGGCATCACTCAGGTTCTTCCTGAATAATATCCTCTGGTAAAAAGAAGAAACAACACATGCTCTGGCTCCCTCAGCTGCATTATTTAAAGTCCTGCTGTTTCCCTATAAAGCGTTAAATTGTCTTTCCTTCTTTGATCACAGACCCCATGCCTTCCCTTTAGCACATCGTCATAGAGCGATGATTCTCTTGCGTAAACCATTTTCTGTCTCAGAATCCAGGTAGACGTGTAGGTGGTGTTACAACAGAGTTCTCCCAGTATCTTCCTTCAAATGAATGAATTCCCATTCTTCTGGCCCGATGTGTGATTGAGCTTTTTCATTACACCTTGAGTCATTTTAATGATGTACAAATGTGCTTGTATATATTTTGAGGGACATTTTCCTAGTCTTCTTCTTGTGATCTATAGTTCTCTGTGCTGTGGATCAAGCGGCTCAAAGCATATAGGCAATATAGGAATCGCCTAGGGCATCAAGTTCTGGGGGGAGGGGTCGTAAACCTACAACCAGACAACCGGACAGCTTCCCGAGGATCGTGTGTCACAGAATCAGAGAATGCAGCGATGTAATTTACTGTAACAACACCTTCTTCTTCTGCCCTCCAGGGTTTAAAAAACACAACACAAACAAAGATTTCACTGTAAAGGATAATGTGCAGGCAGTTTTTTTTGTCCAGGGATGAAAAAAAAGGCAGATTCTAATGTCAAATGGTTTGGAGTGGAGTTTATTATCAGATGCATTGAAAGCAAACAGCCCCAATAAATTGATTCTGAAGAAGCTGCAAACACTTTTCTTCTGTGATTCATGAAAATAACCTGTCAGAGACTAGAATACACAACGACGGTCTAATATCTAACGAAGCTGCCATGTTGTTCTCTCTGTGCATGGAGACTTTTTATCACATTTACTCCTATCAATAATGTTCATTCTAACAAAATAATTAGGGCTGTCAGCAGTACTGTATACAGATCAATTAGGTCTGACGTTAAAGCATTCGTTGTTTTTTTAATCTCATTAATCAAAGGCTATTTTGTCCCTTTAGGCGCACCGTAGATAGTCCTCCGCAGTGTCTCCCCGTAGTCACAGAGATGGAAGAAACAACACTGCTGCATCTTTGAATGTCTCATTCGTCTGAAAGTCAAAAGTAATATCCACTGTAACGACCTTTGATCTATATTACCAGGAGGGCCTTTCTTTATTTCAAAATAAAAGCAGGGTTGAATTCAAACAGCCAGTTTAACAATTATAAACGTTTGACAGCCCTGGGAGTAATCTTAAATATTTGTGAGTTAGATTAAAATGTGAAAGACATACATTTAATACATGCAGAAATATCAGAGGATAACAACACAAGGGCTTTTCTGCGGATGGTGAAATTTAGTTTTCTCTCTTCTTCTCAACATCCTACAAGACAAAATTAAAAAGTGTTAGCACTCAATAAAAGATTTGACATATTTTATTTATGTTAATGTTCTTACCATATTTTACTGATAACGGCCAGAGTCATTAATATCACCACTCCAACAAGCAGTAACGTTGCAAAAGCATAGAGGAGATAATCTGAGAACACAGGAATCAAATTAATTAAATGAAATTCAAATTAATAACGATAAGGAAATCATAGTTTACAGAGTTTAGATAAAGAGAGGAGAGAGAGAGAAATGCACAATCATATCTCCTCCTACATGCAGGTTGACTTTGGAATTAACAGAACTTGAACTGAAATTTACCGTTCGACCACACGTAACCATCCTCAGGGTCGCTGAGTCCGGGAGGTTTGGAGGTGGATTTTTTCCAAGATGTGACTGAAACACACCAAAAAAAGCTTTAAAATTACAACAACAAAAAAAATGTAATGAAGAATCTTAATGCTGATGAATCCGCACCCTACTTACTGAAGAGTGATCTGTTGTGAAAAACCTCATAAATCATGTTGCACGTCAGCAGATCATCACCGTGCATTCCTCTGCATGTACATGGATAGTGAAGTACGGTGCCCATGGTGGCCAAAAAGGCTCTTTGACATTCTGGATCTGCACCAAGGATTAAAGCTGGATCCATCCGGCTGAAACATTCATTATTTTCGAGGTCGCTGTCGCTGCACTGTGCTCCTTCAGAGCTCCAGCATTTCTCTCTGAGAGTCTTTAAAAGTTTTCTGATAAATGAGAGAAAAACATGTTTCATATTCAGTCCATGGCTGCTTTGTATTTATGAAAAATACACAAAGCAAATGCATCATTTTTATAACCCTTAATTACCCATGACAGACAATAGCTCGAGGCATTTTTATGTTTTGTAAGCTTTTTGTTTTTCAGCTTTTGTTACTGAGGTTTTAATTCAACTCAAATTTGGAGCACATCCAGACAGATGCTTTCTCTATGATTATGCATAATTAACAGAACAGCTGTTCCTGGGGATGCACCGACGCATCAGTTCAACATCGATATCGGCCGATATTTACCCTGTTGACAGACATCGGCACATCGGAAAATAAAGTGGCATGAAACGATGTCAGTAGCCGATGTGTATCTGTTGTGTAATTTAAATTTAATGCTGACATCTAGTACACCATAATACTGATCCAGAGAAGAGTTTTTTATTGGGCAGACGAAGTCACCTGTTGAACAAACTGACTTTTTGTTTTTTTAAGAAGCAAGTGTCTGAAACTGAAGCAAGTCTGTGAGCATTGACTGTTTCCTCTTATATTCCTCATTTTACTGATTGGTCTTATTTAGTCTATTATTTTTATTGAGTTTAAAATGTCTGTATGTGTATCACTGTGTGTAGTTTCACTGTTTCTTTAAGCCTTGTGATTCTGTTTTCATCTCAAAAGCCTCTAGCAGGGACCACCAGTTACCGTACATCGGCCAACAGATTATATCAGCAAATATTAGCACATCAAGTGACTCTCGTATGATAGATATGCACCGAGATTACTAGATTTAATCATTAGTCAAAATGCATTTCATTTGAGTATAATTGTATTGGACTGGCTGTCACCCGAAAAGGGAGCCGTATGGATTATAACGAGCATTATGACTCTCCAGAGTGTCAGCCGGTGATGCACGTTTATGCGCAGTTACCTTCCAGTTGTGTTTGATGACTGCAGTTGAGGGATCAACGCAATATATGTGTATATCTATATATATCTCTACAAATTAAAGATATAATCTATAAGAAAGATATCAGCCAATACAGTATATCGGTATAAGATGTTTTTTCTCCATATCAGTATCGGCCCAAAAAAAATTTGCTCCACATAAGTTTAGTTATTACATCTGAATTAGGGGAAAACGGCAGAACTAAACGCCTCGCCAACTGTCCTACTGTAACAACATGACATTTCCTCTAAATAATTGCCTGTAGACATTTCAGCTTCACTAGACGCAAATTGGAATTGTGCCCTTAAACCCCCGTCTGCTGCGACAAGTCGTGGGGAAATGAAGTTTATCGTTTGCCCTGAGACGCTAATTCATAAGCCACAAATTGAACCAGAATGTCGAGATATCAACCAACACGCTCGCTATCTGCCCTCGTGTTTTAATTGCTATACGGTAAAGTTGTTTTCTTAGAAGTGTAAAATAACTGGAGCCATGTCGCAGGTTTGCTCAGCCTTAAGCCTTCCCTTACAGAATATTTAATGTTAAGCAGGAAGCAGTGAGTCTGAAGTTTTTTTTTTCTGGCCACACTACCAGCCAGTTTATTTTTATCTCACTTACTTATCTCTAAATTATCATATAGCTCCACAGTCAGAGAACATTTCAGTCAAGTATCTTCTGTTTACACTGTGTGGACATTTATACTGTAAGTTATCTGCTCTGAAAATCATGCACTTACCTGCACGACTGTACAGCTCCTCCAGTGCACCTTTGGGTTGTGCATTTTGTGTTCTTATATTCTATCATATAGATTATATTGCTTGTTGTATATTTTATCTTATTCTATGTAAGTTCCCTGTCAGCAGTAGCGTCGCTGTTTCATAGCTTCTTGTAGGATTTTATGTTTGCCCTTGTTATGCCTCTATTTAAGGACAGTGGATAGAGTCAGAAATCAGGGACAGAGAGAGAGAGAGTGGGGAAAGGAGCCACAGGTCGGATCTGGACCGGGGTCGAACGCTTTTTGGACTACAGGCTCTGTACATGGGACGCGTGGCCAAACCACTTGGCTACAGAAGCCCCACTAAGTCAGATTCTTAAATTCATTAGGCAGTAAAACTAATTCTGATTCTTAAGCAAGTCTGTTGGATGGATTTCCATGATATGTCATCCATTCCAGTGACCTGATCTGCTTCCTTTAAGTCTGAGCCACACTAAAAGATTTTCCAAATCTTATCAGCTGTTTAAACTGTGAGAGACGCTTTACATGTCAACATTTTATGACAGGTGTTCTTCCTATTGTGTGTGAAGAGCAACGGCTTGTTTTTTTAATTTACAGTAGGCCTATGTATGTAATTGGGCAGTCAGCCTTGATGCTTTAATCTGGATTCGATTACAGTAAGCAGTTATTGCATTTATTATTTTAATCACGAGTCATTTCGTCCCTTCCACCACTCTACGGTGTAGTTAAACCACCGCAGTGTCTTCCTGCAGGCATGAGGTGACATTTTGTTCCCATTCACTATTTTCATGAACTTTTCCATCTTTTTTTTTATTCCAACATATTTTTTTTCCAAACAGAAAGTAAGTGAAATTTAGCTTAAGACAGTACAAAATACAAAATAAAAGCATGACAAAAACTGTTTTGAAATGCAAAATAATGGCATATCTAGCACGTGATCGTGATACTATTGGAATTTAGCGATTAACAAAAATGAAATAGTTTGGCAGCCCTCGTAATAATACATTTTAAGTGGCAGTGAGTTGAGCTCACAGGACAGCTTGTTGTCTGTTGGTTTTAATGGGTGTATTATATTGTCGAGTTATAGTTGTAACATACCTACAGTCTTGGTCCTCAGCACACTGGTCCGTTGTCTCCTGACAGATCAATGTGGAGACTCCACAGGTGCCGCTGTGCAGAGTGCTTTTCATGTGAGACAGTTCTGATCTGAAGCTGCACACTCACACAGCACCAACATCTCTGCCACGCTGTACGGCATGCTGCTGTAGAACTGCTGAGTCACTTGTTGACAGCGGTCGCTGTCGCACTGCTCTGCTGTGCACGCCTGAAGAACCGGTGCCAGGTACCTGTTACAAACTGCATCACTGACACATTCTGTCATTCTGTCCAAGCAGGATCCAGCAGCATCGTACGCTGGGAAAGGAAACGCAGTGTGTGAGTTTTAAAGACTGAAAAAACATCATATATATGTTTATTGAATTCAGGAAACTGTTTTGTATTTTAATATTTTTGTTCTTGAGGTTATAATCTTGTAAAATGATCACCATTGTGTATCAAAGTGCTTGACTGCCAGTCCATCCCTGAGCTCCTCTTCTGCTGAGATGCTGAAAAGACATTGAGGAATCAGGAATCATTAGTAAATCCAAAACCACATTATGATGGTCCTGAACTTCAAAATAAGACAACCATTCATTCAACAAAGAACATCATCTTGTAAAGGGGGATAAAACAAGAACCCTTCAAAACATGAAATTCTAAATAGGCCTCACACAACATCAAATTACCAAAAGAAATCAGGCGTCTCAAAAGACACAACATTTCACAAAACAGTAAATCTGAAAAAGGCCCCAACTTTCAAGACATCGCCTCATCACTCCTCAAAATCTGCATGGTGAATTAAAACTGCGAGGAGTGATGAGGTCAGAGCCTGTGTTCTGCTGCTGCAATGAATATTTCACACAAATTCAAACGTGAGCTGACTGAAATGCTTTAGTGTAATGATGGTGTGTTTTTGTTTAATGGTTTTTAGTTGTGTTTTGGAAATTATGCGTTTGTGAAATGTTGTAGGTTTTGACCCTTCAGGGCCACCATACAAAATGCTTATTGAAACCCTTCTGCTAATGATGTGCAAGCTGAAGCACAAAAAGCATTTATTTAAACAGAACACCAAATCACCTTGAGTCAACAACACAATCACTGCACCTATAAACGATGTTCTCATTCTTCCCAGAAAATACTGCACCTGTGTTTGGACGGCATTGTGTGGCCAGTTCTCGTATGGAGCCACAAAGCTCCTCCTCCTCCCGTGCACACACACATCCCTCCAGGGAGGGAAACTGGACCAGCACGGCCTGGATGGTCATGTTACAGGCCTGTGAGCCTTTAATTTGGCACGTTTCATCTTGAATAACAAAAACAGAGGAGAGGCAGAAAAACAGGATTTTCCATTATGTGATCGAGCCGCGTGCGACAGGTGTTTAGCGCACCTGCTCTGATTGTTTCTCTTTAAAAGGTCTGGAATACACGGCTATAATATCAAAACAGATCTATTTTAAGGGAAGGCCTATTTATTATTATCTGTTTTTGTAGTTATATAAACTTTGCTCCAGGCTATCGCCTCATGTTATTACATTTAAGCTTTACTCGAGGAGCTGCAATTCAATTGAGAAAAGCTTCATGTCCTGAGCCTCCTGAGGACATGTACTTACTACTTTTATAATGCCACTGGACAACATGAAGGGTTACACCATGTTGCAATCAACACTGTAGCAGATATATTGTTTTTTAAGTTACCAGCACAGGTGCCGCTGTAAAAAGCCGTTTCCTTCTTGCATAAATCTGACATGCAGGTATGAACAGCAGCTGAACAGTCTGGAGGTGGAGGCGACACGCTGAGGCTGAATATCTGAGGAAAAACAATCGCTGGAACACAAATTGATTATAAAAAAACAACACTTCTTTATCTTGAAATTGTATTGACATGTTCTTTTTAGATTTTGTGTTTTTGCCGAACAAATGTTCAAAAAGTCTTTTCTGCAAGTTTGACATCAAAGATTGTTGCTGACTTTACAGTTATCACACTAAAAAAAACATACAGCTCTAGTTCATAACCTCCCTTACAACATGCTGCAAAAGAAAGATAAAATCAATACATTTTATTATCAGAAACAAAAATGATAATTTTATAGCATCACTCACCCAATATGACCGCAGCCTCCAGTTTCATGTTGACAGTTGTGAAGCTGTCAGAGGACAAACCACTGAGTCTCTCCTGCAGGTGATCCGTCTCTCACTTTGGTGCCAGGGATGTAGCTTGGATGGATGCACCAACCACAGACAAGGAGGAGACACATTTACCAGAGCATTTACTGTGGGCTGTGCCCCGCACCGTGTAATGAAATAACAAGCCGTTCACAGACAAAAACAGAAAATAAAAGAACAAAATCGACATCCAATCGTTTGGTCATATTATTTAAGTGGGAATTTTTTACATAGTTTTTGTTGACAAGACTGATATGTTAGAAATAATTGCTGCTAAAAGAAGAATTTAACTATTTACATAATAATAGTGTATTAATAATAAGGATGTGATGGGATCGCTGACAGTGTATCCAAACCAGCTTTAAAATCATAAAAAAAGCTTTGGGTCAAAAGTTTTTCGTTATTTATTGAGTTACTTTGAAGAGCTTCTAATGTTGTATATTTCTTTTGAACTAGTTTTCAAGCTGTTCGTGAAACATCTTGCTTGAAGTTATGAAGCAACATGAAGACTGTCTGTGCATTTTAGTGACTTTAAGCCGAGTTTTCCTGTTTTCTGACCCACATTGTATTACTTGCATTTACCATAAAACCTTCGATGGTGGCTCAGTTCGAGGATCAAGGTTGTCTTTGTTATCCCTGTGAGAGGGCACTTTGCTTAGCAGTCAGCAGTAAAATACATACAGCCGGCAATCAGCAGACAACACAAGAAGAACACTCAAAAGGCAAAAAGTTACCCAGCCTGTGACTCCACTTCCAGCGATGACGGTGACGCTAACAAAGTTCAAACCCAGTGACAAAATAAAAAACAAAAACTTGGTGCTTATTTTCAGAGGTATTTGTGTCATCAGCAAACAGACATCAGATTTGACAGTGCTACGTCATTAAGCTGACATGGACAATCAGAATTTTGATTGCATAAATAATCATTTTTTGAGAGTTTGCTTTTTGTTTTGAGACTGTCTTCTGCCAGTGAGCGTATTCTATTGCAAAGTTCAGTGTGCAGAAACCTTTAACTTTCCGCCTGTCATGAGATCTGCCAGCAAACACACACAGCACTCCATGCTGTCAAAATGACTAATTAATCACAGTCTCAGGCTTTGTTTTTCGAGGTTACAAACAAAATCAAATTTGCACAAGTGCCTTTGTTTTGGAAATATATTTTTCTGCCAACTTTGAGTTAACTCTGAAAACACAAAGGAACAACAACAGTAACCAAGCACAACACCATGGCCAGGGCCATCACATGAGCATGTCACTCAATTCCTTCCTTACTGGGGTTGAAAAATCAAAGATGGCATAGCATCGTGTAAGGAATCTCTTGAGCTTCAGCCCCTCCACAGATGGAGGTCGGTGCTCTCAAAGACGTCAAGACTTCAAAAAATAATTCAAAGGACTCCTTCAGGCAGAATCCAAAGAAAGTTCTGGATCAGATGAATCACTAACGGCAAATGCATTAAGGTGCAAAGGACCGACATTTTATACTCTGAGGAATACCTTCGTTAATTTGCCCTCAGTGATTCGTGGGCTCCAGTTCTTCCTCTGGATTCTGACCGTGTCCTTTGAATTATTTTTGACGTTCAAGGCTTTTTGTGCTCACACACATTCATTCATTCATTCTGAGGTGAAAGAGGTGATGCAGATACAGGTCTCTTTGTGTTTCTCATGGTATGGTTCAGGGGGTCTAAAAGAAAGATCAAGGTTGGATGAAAAAATGTGCTGCTTTTCTATAATGCTCATATTGAAAAAACAATGTTTTACAGAAACACTTTACAGTGTAAATCATCAAAAAAGGTCATTAATTCAAGGTGCTGCAGTGGTTAGCGCTGTTGCCTCACAGCAAGACAGTTCCTGGTTTGAATCCCCATTGGACATGAGCCTCTCTGTGTGGAGTTATCGTGTTCTCCCTGTGCATGCGTGGGTTCTCTCCAGGTACTCCAGGCTTCCAAAACAAGTCCAAAATCATGCTCGTTAGGTCAATTGGTGACTAAATTGTAGAGCTTTTAACTGAATCTCATTTCAATCTAGTTTTATTACATTTTGAACCTCCTGTATTTCCTCATTTAGAATAAATGTTTGCGTTTCCTCAGTACCTGTTCTTATCTAGTTATTGTTACCTTAGTTTTTGGATTGTGGGATAGGGGTGGGGGAGGGAGTCATGTTGTTGCTGTTTGATTAAATGTTGGGCACTTTGGGATACATTTGCTATATGAAAAGTGCTATTCAAATAAAGTTTGATTGATTGATTGATTGATAAATTGCCTGTAGGTGTGAATGTGAGTGTGTCTGGTTGACCGTCTCTAAATGTCAGCTTTGTGATTGACTGGTGAACTGAGTTTTCCTGTTTTCTGACCCACAATTGTATTACTTGTAGACAATTGTGCGACCCCGCGACCCCCAGAACAGGAAAAGCTGTAAAGATAATGGATGGATGAATTCATTCAAGGTCTCTCAGACTGAGACACTTTCTCCCTTACTCAAACACTAGTAGTGAATCTTACATCTTCCTCCCAGCGCTGTGTTGAGTCACTGTGAGGACATTTGACCACATACTGTGCACCACCACTTGCATTAATGGTAACTTTAAAAAAGCAGACAATAAACCATACAGTGGAGAGTGCAGCTATAGATAATAAAAGAGGGATTAATTTTTCATTCTGTACTTAATTTTAGTCCCGTCACTACTTCATTACTTAACAAGTTTTTAGAAAGGGATGACAAATGCACAGTGTCTTGTCTTCATGCTCTTGTAAGAGTTGTTAGGCGGAGAACTTCATGATGGAGTCTAGACGGCGGTAGTGATGGTGATGGAGCATGTGGGGTGATTATGATGGATTGGAGGTGACCAGGGTGGAGGAGGGTCCCTTACGATCAAACTAGAACTACAAACGTAGAGCAGCAGAGAGGACAAAAGAAGACACATTTTAGGATGATTGGTCAATAAGGGTGGTGATGAAGGATGTGGGGTGATTGTAGGGTGCTGGATGTAGACACTGATGAGATGGATTGGAGGTGACCAGGGTGGAGGAGGGTCTTAACAATCTGAACTGAGAGCAGCAGAGAGGACAAGAAGACACATTTTAGGATGATTGGTCAATAAGGGTTGTGCTGAAATCCAGTTGGTTTAGTACTTCAGAGTAAATGCCCAAAGTAAGCTGATCAGTGGAGCCGGAAGGAAAAAGATAGAGGAAGCGACAAATATGAAGAATGAGAACTCTGAATAAATGTGTGGAAATAATTTATTTTTTAGCTATGACATAGGCCAAAATGTGGCAACAGAAGGCTTGTTATGTTTTTTGTTTGTGCTCATTTTACAGGGGTATTTAATGAGAGTTTATTCGTTTTGACAAGCACATGGCGTAAAAAATTGCCACTGCATCGCAAAATAAAGCACATTTAAAGCCTTTATATGCGGGTTAGGGTTTTTCACACCTAAATGTAATAGAAATCAAGTATATCCTCTGAAAATAACTCTGTGAGTCATGACTGTCTACAATGGGTGTAACACCCGAGTCCCACTGTCTGTGATGTTTCAGAGTTTTCAGAGTCCTATCTTCACTTTGTTTACATCGCCGGACAGCGGCTGACTCCTCCCCTCGTGTATAAAAGTTGTTTAATTGAGGGACTAGAGAAAAGAAGAATAACATACTGTACTCACTGCTTAACTGTGTTTCTAGATCACGCTCATTTCAGGTAAATTTACATGCAGTGTGAAGATACCAGCATAATAAAGATCGCTAGCATTAGCATGCTAACACAACAATGCAGTGCAAGTTGTTTTAGTTTCATGCTGGTGCTCAAGGGCGACATTTGCTGGATCGCATATTTTAAGCGTTGGCAGCTTCCATTTTCAAGGCTGGGCTTCTTATATCAGCCTTGACAACAACAATAGCTGCTGCTAATGCCAGGACACAAGTATTTCCATTGTGTTTTTATGTTTTCTTGGTGATATTAACTTGAAGGAAAATATGAAGCTTGCTATTAAAACAGACCTAGCAGTCATGACAGGGTGGCAGAACTTGACTTTTGTATCTTAGCAACAGTTAGCGCCAGTGAGAGACACTCTGTAACTGAGGTTGTGGGCACTGACAGCACAAAAAGACGTCCTTGGGACACAGGCCTTACGTATGGAGTTAACGCACAAAAGGCAATTTAAGCAGCTTAGTGACAGAATTAAATGTTTTGAAATCAGGTGTTAATGTGTGAATAAATGAGTACAAAACTCAAACATATTTCTGCCAACTTCACCTTGATCATCGCAGACATCGTCCCCATTTAAGACAAATCTCCAAAGCTGAAACAAGATTTCAATCTTAGGGGTTTTTAATCACCTGTGACTCCTTGTTGCATGTTAACACAAACAAACAAACAAACAAACAAACGTGTGTCAGCAGTCAAAAAAAAAAATGGTAACAAAAACTGACAAATACAAGAGGGTGATGAAACTACAGGCATTAGATTGAACAAAAGGACGATGGGTCGAGCTGTTTGCAGGATCAGCTGCAGACAGGCACAAGATTGATCCCCCTTGGCTGCTGACGCCTGACGGAGGTGATGAGTCTGCCTCGCTGATGGCTCCATAAGTAGTCAGCGTGTTGAGTAATGAGGTTGACACTCACGCAAGAAAGCTGTTGAATATTCACCAGTAATGTAGAATAATGATGATAAACCCCCGAATCATTACCCACTGCTAATGCAAGAAATCATGCATCTGTGGCCGTTTCCACTAAAGCCCCAAGATTGACTTTTATCTGCTAATTAAGAGGGAAAAATTACCAATCGTTACACATTTCTTTAGATCACCTGATCCTCAATTGGTATTTAAAAAGAAAAAAAAAACATGAGAAAAAACACAATGTCCTGTCAGCAGTAATTAATTAAAGGTCACATATTCTCCTCCTTTTCAACCAGTTTAAATAAGTCTCAGAGCTCCCAAAAACATGTGTGTGAAGTTTCTTGTTCTAAATCCACTCTGATCCTGTATTTGATCATGCCTATAAACCCCTCTATTTCAGCCCTGCTCAAAACAGGCTGTTTCTGTGTCTGTAGCTTTAAATTCTAATGAGCTGTGTTTGACCACGCCCCCTCTGGAAGGGCTTGGGTGGCTCGGGCTTTCTCGGGCACATATAAAACATGGTAAAGTGTATTTTGCATAATACGTGACCTTTAAATTAGATTCTGCATTACAGACTCGGGCTTCTGAACCAAAGATAAGATAAACGTCCAAAAATAGTACATTACCAATACATTACATTATGTGCAAACCATTTCACTGAACTGTACATCATAAAGTACAAACGAGTAATCAAAGACGTAACATTCAAATGATGTTCTTTTCATAGTAAATATATATTTTCTGTTATATACAAGAGGTTGTCATGTTTTCTGTGTCTGTGATGTGAAAGATGTGCGAAAGTCCTCAGAGAACAGAGGTCCGATTTTTAAAGCACTTCATTTCTATAAAGTGTCCTTTAGAAGCTAAACATAAAATATAGGTAATGAGACGTGATTTTTTATCAAAGGATCCGGTCTAGACTTCTTGACTTTGCAATGAGTCCTTGGATTGGGCACCCAGATTCTGCACCAACTACACCATCTGATCAGATATGCGCGACACATTGTCCATGTTGTTCACTTGAGTCGACAGGGATTTCCGGCTCTCCGTGCTCGTTCTGGTTCTTATCCTCTTTGTCTGATTCTGGCTTTTGCTGCAGCAGTGGCAGGAAAAAGCTGCTTTGAACTCCTTGCGGAACTTACCTGAGGGCAAAAAGAGAGAAACTCTAATTAATAACATATTTGAGAACATTAACTCCTTTTCACTTCAGTACTTTTTACCTGAGTCTTTATTGTTGCCACAAGTGTTAAAAATGTGTTTTACTTTTGCCACCCGCTTTGTCCACTAGAGGTCAGTAGTAAACCCTAACAACTGCTCCAGGTGGTGATGTAGGGCGCGTTACAAACTCACCGCTGAGAAAGTTGTAGATGATGGGATTCGCTGCACTATTGGCGTATATGAGCCAGTGTGAGAAAGTGAACCATGCGTACACTTTCTCTCTGTCATTTACTTTTTTGAACGTCCCAAAGACTCTGCAGATAAAAAGAAAGACATGGCATTAGTTACAGGTCTATTCATTATTTACTTTCATTACATATAAATCAGTTGTATAGTTTCAATATACGGTGGCAGCGAGGAGGAACATGTCAGTGCTTAAAATGTACTGAATCCATCATTATAGAAAAGGAGATGCAAAGGTGAGCTTCTTATAATAAAAGAAATCCAAACAGTGAGCACTGATTCATCACATGACTCTCTCTGTTTGAATTGCTTTTTTTCATATCCTGGATGCTGCAGAGCTCCACGGATAATTACCTTTTCATGACATTGAGCACGCTGATCGGCAGGTAGCACAGGGCGAAGACAAAGAGCACCGCCATGAGCATGCTGGCTGTTTTGCGCCGCGCCCGGACCTGCTTGATTTCGGCGCAGACCGTGCTGGTGCGGACCCTCACGGGCTCTCCCAGCGCCGGAGAGGAGGCTGAGCACTGCATCGACCTCCACTTCCTCTGCAGCACTGATGTGCTCCCAGGAATCTGTCGATGAAATGATGAGCATACATCAGGCGCTGAAAACTTTTTTTTTAGGGAAGAACAACATGTACTGTTCAAAGCTAGAGTACATTTCCAAGGTATTCAAATGACAATAGACTGGAAAATGCTTGCAAAAGACAGGGGTGGCACAATGTGGACAATGTGTTAAAAAATAAGAAGCTGCACACAAAGTATAAAATATAAACAGACACAATCGAGCCAATCCTTAAGGAGGTCGCTAGGTTCCTATTTATTTATGTTCAACAGTGTTTTCCACAGAGTGACGGTGGTGAAGGGGGTCGTCTATTGAAAATGTTTAAAGATATTACGGTTTTCATATAAGCTTAGGTTGTGTATCAAGTTATCTGTGCTTTATTCTTCAACTTATTTTGGTCTCTGCTCAAGAATGCATTTAATTGTCTCACCTTGCTTCTCAGGCTATGCACACACACACACATCTGCACCTGCACCTGTCCCGCTCCACTCTCTGTAAGTATGTCCATTATATCGGCCAGCCCAGCCGATATTAGCATATCCAGTGACATATGCAATATGCGCTGTTATTACTAGATTTATTAACCAGTCTAATAGCATTTTATTTGAGTTTCATTGTATTACACTAGCAGCTCTCTTTCACCAGCAGAGGGTGCTATATGGATTATAACGAACATTATAAATCTGAAGAGTAATGCGCTGTAGAGTAATGCACTTGTATGTACATACAAGCGAAGTTACTTTCCAGTTGAGTAACCATCTTGTCTTCACTTCATCTTTTCCACACGTGTTTGATAGCTGCATTTGAGGGATCAACGCAATCCATGTGTCTAGGGATTTCAAGAAGCAAGCTCAGTAAAGTGCAGAGTGCCAAGTTTGTACTTTCTAAAGAGCTTGTTGAGCAGCTGAATGCTGCACGGGTGCAAAAGATGTGATTTCTTTATAGTCCACATCCTGGGCGTTCTGCACCTGCACCCTAAAGTCAAGGGTTCATACTCAGACCAAAGAGGGAGCGTGCAGTGTGCCAGCTGTAATCTTGTTAGCTGAATTCAGTGTGTCCTGGTCTGTCAGGTGAGAAATACTGCACGTGTTGCTACTGAATTGTTAAACAATGAGCAAGTAGGACTGGGATGATATGCCTTTGTCCAATTATAGCGATCCACTGATTGTTCATTACTTGAGCTAATTAGCGAGCTATCCTTCTTGCTCAAAGAGGTGACACGGTTGTTTGAAACTCTCCACTTTCTTCATTTATAAGCTGGCTCAGTCAGACAGTCTGATGGAGTTATATCTTCATTGATAACTTGAAAGACTCAGAGCTAATGAGAAATCGTCTGCTCCTTTACACTTTGGGCCGCTCCGGGCTCATGTCGGTTGTTATTCTGTTAACGGATATGATGGCATCAATCCCAGTGGAACAAATCAAGTATTTGAATCATCCATTAAAAAATGTAGATACTTTAGTGGATCAATTTTGTTCTCTTAGCTCTAGTAGCAAGAAAACTGGGAAATAAAAAAATACTTTTGAACTAGCAAACAGTGCAGAGTCATCATTAAGTATTGCATTCATAGCCTTTACAACAAATACAGTCTCATCTCACTTTGCATGTGTAAGCTCACTGCCTTCTATGTAAGTCATCAGTTAGTGATCAATTAAAACTTTAGGATGGCAGGGCTTCTTATCAGGACTCAGATAACTTAAACATGCTGTTCCAGGCTCCTCTGCTGTGTGCAGAGCCAGGCAGACGTCTTTGATCTTTGTCTTTCATAGCTATGAAGGTTTACACTCTTCACTAAGACAATGATTCCCATAGTGGGAGGTTGGTGAGACACTGGGTGGGGGGGGGTCACAAGATGCCTTCCAAAAACAAATACAAATTTTGAAAGACTTGAAATTGCATTTTTTTTTAGCAATTATTATGAAATAAGCCTTAAGTGAGATTTGTGCTGAAATGAAAGTAGGACTGTGACAATGAAGGTATCAGTTGTGCTCTTAGTAAATAGCGCACACAGACACATTGAAATAATATAATTATCTTAAGGCTGCTGTTTTCTTTTGAAGTTGTTCAAATGTCAGTGTGTGGATAAGCCTATTAGTGCAATTCTGCCGCAACCTTCAATGCTTCAAACATTTCCAGGGACACAGGGGGTCCCCCGTCTCTCGCATTGTTATTTTGGGGGTCGCAGGGTGAAAAGTCTGGGAACCCCTTGCGTTAATAGACTCTATTTTGATATGTTTACTTTTTCCGCGCAAAACTTTCAGAAGCATCTTTAAACAATGCTTGAGCAAGAATATCACTTTTAAAAAATAGATTTTTAAAAAACAAGTGATGGAATACACACCTGCTGAAACCACAGCTTGTGACAGATCTGGATGTACGCCAGGATCATGAGGCACAATGGTGCAAAGTATGTGACGATGAAGAAACAGGTGTGATACACCTTCGGGTAGATCTCAGCTGTTGGAAAAAGTAAATAAAAAAAATATTATAAATAGATTCAAAACTTTATGGAAAGCTGGTTAAGACACATGACCTCAGTTTATTTTCCTGTGTCTGGTCAAATCAACAGTGTTAACACATAGTCACTCAAAATACAGAGTACTTTAAATCAACACAGGGATAAGCAGTCTTATTGCAAGCAGAGGAAGGTGAGTTTCATCAGAACAAACAAAAGCAGCAAGGTAAGAGAAATAAAGAGAAACTTAAAAATCGTTCCAAGAAAGACAGAATAATGATAATATGTGTAACTATGAGGAAGATGGCTTGAAATATGCTGCTGAGATTCTCTGTCACGTCCTGCATGACGATCTGGATCAAACCTCAGTGAGCGACAGGAGTGATGGGGAGGACTGTCTGTGCTGGCTGCAGAGATGGAAATAATGGTTGAAACTATGACAACAAATGTTTTTTTCCATCTCTCATGGGGACTTTTTAATGCTTTAACTGATGCATTTAAGACAAGCTGATGTGGATAAAAGTGTCTACTAAATGGGTTGCACAATTGTAGACATTTTTGAAAAATCAATGTCCTACTTTTGTAAACGGTTTAATATTCTTTCTGGTGTATGTTTACAATTTAAGTTCTTTTCCATCTGTGCTGTGCACGAGTTTAGAGTTTGAAAATAATTAAAGGCCATGCAGTCTCGGACTGACGCCTGTCCCAAGTAAAGGACTAAAGTAAATAAAAAGCCATTACAGACCATCTGTAACCTTTTGTTTGGGGTAAAGTGTGGATGATTGAGGGAATGAAAGAGAGAGGGTGCACCATGAAACACAAAACGACCTCTGCCAATTGCTCAAACCTCACACTTTCTCTACACAGACCTTGCAGTGAGAATGTTTCTCAGCACAAACTTTGGGCTGTTTTGGCTTTTAAAGTTATAATTTGATATGCAAAAAATCTTCCCAGCTGAAATGATGAGGGAAATCTCTGATGGTCTAAAAAATCAGTTCTTCAAATATATCCAGCTCTGAAGTTTCTTTTCAGACACTCTGGAAATAAAAAACACATAACCCTGACCCAAAACTCTGCACATTTGAGCGTACATCTTTGGTTATGACACTGTGAGTTCAGCACATGTAATAATCACGTGTTCAGAGAAAAGAGGGGATGCAATTTTCTTCAGCTGCAATCAGTTTGCAGACTCAATCAGGACAACTTGAATCAAACAATAACCGGAATCAAACACACTTGATTTGATCTATGTTGACTTTTCTGTGATTTGACGCCTGCCATTCATTTTTTAGTAAATTTGCCGGAAAAACACATTTAGAAGGCCATTGATTCTTCTCTCAGAAAAAGTGAGTAATGAATCGATGAAACAGTGACTTTGAAAGTTCATACACCTCCGATCATTACACATCGTTGATAGACAGAACAAAGAACATCCTCTTTAAGCACTGCTTCTGCTTAGAAATATTTACAAGATTAAGTCTTAACCCATCAAACTAATGGGAATTATCAACCAATTTAATGTGACTGTGTTCTGAAACATTTGATTGTCATGTGCATTATCAATTTAAAGACAGAGTCTGAAGCTTTTTCTTCAAAAATAAAAACTTTTTTCGTGCAAAAATAATGCTGCTCCTTAGTCACTTACAGGCCTCCATACGCAATGTGTGGTGTCTGCAGAGACTCTGTCCTCTGCCTGGATTTTCATGTTTTGTATTGTTTTGGTTGACGTGGGACGTTTCTAGGCCGGGGAGTTGGTGTGTCTCCCCCAGCCAATGGCAACGCAGGAGAGGATTACAATTCAGCGATTGGACAGGATTCAAACACGCCAATGCCATTGCCTTAAACATGCTACATTTAACACATAACATTCCCCTTATACTTCGACTGTTCTGTGATGTTGAAGTAATGAGGGAATTACTAAGACTTGACTTCACACAATAACACTCAGTTGACTCAGACGGCTTACGTTGATGAAAGTTTTCACAGAAGATGACAACATCACACTTGTGTCCTCGTGTAGTGCTCAACCACATCTGTCGAACTCTTCGAAGGGCATCGCATATATCCCAAAAGACATTATCATTATCAGGGTCATGTCACATTGACCCACCTAAACTAATCTGTGTCGTCAATAACACTGGAGCAGACAATAAGTCTACCAAACATCCTTGCAGATATCAGGAAGAACAGTTGACACTCTCTAAGCTGTACTTGGTGTTCTAATAACAGCTGAACTCTATCAGGGTTGACTGACATTAGAGAACAGTGAATAAACCTAATGATGTCTGTACATTATAATCTAAATAACTATAGAAATTCCACCACAGAGGGGACTAGAGTTTCCTTTGTGAAGAATTAGTTATATCTTATATTTTATTAAAATTGGATAATAATGACAGATTTTGGAGATCTATAGTTCTCCAGATACTGGTATCCCTTTGACAGAATATGTAACTTAAAGTCAGTAAGTGAGAGACTAGGCGCTGTATTTCTTGTGTGTAAATTGTTTGTGTAATTAGATTTTTTAACTAACCTCCCCAGTGCTCATCACACACTGTGAACAGACTGGTCTTGTTTGTCAGCTCGGGCAGGAGGCTGCTGCACTCCATCACAACAGCCTGAGGGATCATGATGATGCACGACACCACCCAGATGACAACAATACTCTTGCGAGCCCTCTTAGCGGTGCTCTTGAACATCAGCGGGTGGCAGATAGCATACCAGCGGTCTTGGGCGATGCAGCTCAGTGTCAAGACTGATACAGAAACTGAAATTGTCTGGGGGGGGGGGGGGAGAAAGACAACAGTTAGACAAAGGTATACTGAGAAGAAATAGAGAAATAGATACCACTGCTGAATTCTTGTTGTGCAGTTTTACTTTGAGACATTCACCTGGGTATAATATTGACAAGTTTCTGTGGAGACTATGGGCTGCAGAAAAAAAGCAATTACAACGATAAATGAATCATTTGTAGTTGCTGGAGATTTGTCTTAGTTCTTTGGGACATCACATGGCTGTAAATCATCATTTTAGCGAGCATCCCATTTAAGTTCTTTTGTCACAGTTGCAGCAGAGGCAGGCGATTAATTAATACTAACAACAATAACACATACATAACTCCACTGTAACCATTATTGTTTGTATATCTGTGTATTGTCTCAATATGTTGTCCTCTCAATTTTATTTTTGTCTTTTTGCCCCTCTTGCCTTGTTATGTTCATTTCACTCATAAACCAGGATTCTGAAAAATCAGCATAAAAACAAGTCAGTGCGAACTAAGTAAATGTTTCTTTCTTTAAAGCAAAGTCTAGTCCTTTTATAAAACTCTCAACAGGCTGTGGTGCCCTCAGGTGGTCTGGGAGGGGGTGGTCTGGGGGAGGAGGGGGGAGGGGGTGGCATACCGCAGCCATGGATGGGCAGAATGGAATACCCGATCCGCCATTGTATGTCATTAAGTCCTGAGGGGTTGGAGAGGGTTGATCCTTGAGGTAGATTTGAGCTGCTTCTTTTACTTTCAGAGAAACAAACAGCTACTCTTAAATATGTATTGAATTTTTGAGTAAACAATTAGCTTTCCAAGGTAAATCTATTGCTAAGATCTTTGTTTCAATAATAAACCCACAGACAAAAGCTCATCAAGATCCAATCGCAAAACAGTCTTTATCAGTTCTGCAGAAAAATATGTTTACTCCAGCCTTCACTGATGGCATCAGGGTTAGACAATAATGAAAATTGAAGCACCACCAGTTTTTTCATGGAGTCTGAAATCTTCACCTTCTTCCTCATCTCCTTTCACGGCACAGACTCTTCTTATCGCCATCTGCTTTGCAGACATCACTGAAGGCTTAGCTAGACTAGATGAGACGAGGCCAGTTTTCAAATATGTCTCAGTGAAATTCGGCGAGTTAGATGTGGCATGATGGGGGCATGAGCGACTTCCTATGTGGGAGATGCTCTCATCTGATGTCGGCACGCTTGCAGACGATTTACGGCAGGAATTTCAATGAGTCTTTTTGGTTCCCAGCAGTGCACTGAATTCACATGGGAGATACATTCTGTTCTGGGAGTTTAATTTTCTGTGAGAGATACACACACTGGGCTCCATCACTTTGAAATACTACACTTTGGGATGGCAGTGGTATCATACATAACCCCCTTCTGACTAATTTATGTCATATAAAGGGTTTAAAAGCAGATCTACTAAGCTCTGCATGTCAAAGACTGAATTCTTTGCAAACTAGAAACAAGGGCAGCTTGTGAACAGAGGGGAATTACATGCTGGATAAATGGAAGCTACTAGTAGTCATTTTAGATGTGCTAAGTCAAGACACTTGGAGCAGCATGTCTGTCGTCATATCTTGTCCTTCTTTGCAAAGGAATCAAAGGCCCAAGTCTGCGGATACTCTCTATATATTTCAGAGCCCACACATCCAGTAAAGAAAGCGCAAAACCAACAAGTGATTGATGCCAGATGATGTAGTAGTGTCTCTGTGGAGCTGATTCATTCGGGCTGTTGTTGTCCAAAAGACCCACATGAGTGAGTCAAGCCAATGACATTTTCCTTTATTGCCGCAGTATGATTAAGCTTTGCAAAAGAACTGAAGCTTAAGTTGAATTCACAAAAAATATGCAGTGGTGATATCACTCGCAAATATTAACTCAGGGTGGGAAGCTTCAAGGCTGTGATGATGTTGTACCAATGTATTTCAGGTTGTAGGTTTAATAAACGTTGGGTACCAACACTTTTGTTGTCATTTCATCACTTTGTGGATGACATAGAAACTTAAAATACATTTTATAGTGAAAACCTGGAGCTAAATCTGGCCATTTTATAATGTTAAACAAAATCTATGGAACAAGAAAACACACTTAACCTTTCAATGTAAAACAACTGGGTGCTGAATTTGCAATACAAGAAAACCGATTAGGACAGCACTCCAAAATTGTATTTTTAATTGCCAAACAAAATATATGACAATCATAATCAGCATTACAGCGTGCAGATGGCCTAGCTGTTAGGTCGCGCCTAAGTGTGTTTATCTATTGCAGTTTTGTGCTCACTTAATTATCTTAGTACATTTTAGACTTTTGTAGACTGATTCAAGCAGTCTTGTATTATCTGTCCCGTTTTTCTTTTTGATTTAATGTCTGTTTTCTAATTATTTCTGCAATGACTCGATGTCATTGTAAATGAGGGTTTGCCCCTCAATGATTTTTCAAGTATAAATAAAGGTTGAATTGAATTGAAAAAAAGTCCAACCTGCATGTCACTCCCTGCTCTCTCTCCTCGGATTCCGACTCTATCCACTGTAATGTCTAAATAAAGGCAAAGCCCCCCACCCCAAAAAAAATCATTAGCTACCTGACTAGTTAATTGTTGCCAGCCCACATTAAGTCAGAAAGGTATGTAGGAACAATCCTGTGTAAACTACTATCAACTCAGGCACTAATGGTGGTACCGCATCACAACCAGGACTAAAAGACTGAGGAAACGCTTGTTTCCTCCAGCTGTAGCCCCTGTCACAACCTAATATTTGATGTTCTGAGTGGAGGTTGTAATATTCAGTTTTATTATTTATTTATTCAGTTTGCTTGTGTTCTACCTGTGCTTATTATGTCATTTCAGACTCAGCAAGCCCACCTGTCACCCTACTCACCTGATCTCCATTCCCTTATTAGCTCACGCTCACTTTTCAAGTCAATTTCAAGCAGCTCATTTCTGTGTTTCTGTACGTATGTCTTGGCTTTACAGAGGGGTTTAATATAGTCATATCCTGCTGGTTTTCTTTTCTCCTGTCATATTTTGACACTTCCCTTTTTTCTATATTCTTGATTCTATTAAGTGAAGATTCCTTACTGTAACGCCTGCCTCTGGAGTCGAGCTATTTGGTTCCTATTGCCTTTAACTGTCATTTCTACCTGTGTGACTATCTAAAGCTTGTGGCATGACATTTCCATGGAAAAGGACAGTTATATGTATCAGTTCAACAAACCAGAGATGTGTGAGTGTAGGTTGATTTTTGGGAACATATAGTGGAGGGATTCTTTTCAATGTGAGCATTGAATGACATTTAAATGTCAAGTCATTGTCAAAGGACCATCCATCAATTTAAATGTGTATGCCGCTTAACTCGTTCGGGGATGGTTAGGGCTAGAGCTGATCTCAGCTGTCATTGGATGAGAGGTGAGGTACACCCTGGACATGTCATCGATCACAGGGCTGACATACAGTGACAAACAACCTTTCAAACTCACATTTACACCTACGGGCAATGTAGGTCACCAGTAGACTGTGAGAGGAAGCCTGAGTAAAAGAAGGGAACCCATGCATGCAAACTCCACACAGAAAGGCTCAGCCCGACAACAGGAGACTCGAAACCAGGAACCTTCTTGCTGTGAGGCACTCGGAGAGCGTTCACCACTGCAGGGCTGTGCAGCCCTCAGCAGATCATATCATCTCAAATGTATTTCCTTCAATATTGTGTACATATTTTAGGACATTACCTATTCATAATGCATTTTATTTATAAGCGCTTTTAAAAACTCAAAGACACTTTACAATGGTTAAAACATAAAGAATAGCACAGAAGGACAGACTAACGGACATCGCAGTGTTAAAAACAAATCATAAAGATAACAACAATAAAGGTAACAACATAAAGGTAAACTACAGAAAACAGAAAATACATCACAATCATACATTAAAAGCTTGTTTAAAGAGGTGAGTTTTGATAAGTGATTTTAAAGTAGGAGGGTCGGTGCAGTGTTGAATGTGTGTGGGGAGTGAGTTCCAGAGGGAGGGGGCAGCTATGGAGAAGGCTCTGTCCCCCTAGGTTCAGTGCTTGGTTCTAAGAGGGGAGCTAGGAGGTTGGCTTTTGAAGAACGGCGGCTGCGTGCAGGAGTGTGAGGGTGAAGGAGAGCCGTGAGGTAGAAGGGGGCCTGGTGGTTAAGGGCTTTATGTGTGAGGAGAAGGATTTTAAATTGGATACGGTAAGGGACAGGGAGCCAGTGGAGATTTTGCAGGACAGGGGTGATGTGTTCGCGTATTCGGGTGTGGGTGAGGAGGCGTGCAGCAGAGTTTTGGATGTATTGAAGTTTATTAAGGATTTTGGATGATGTGCCGTAAATAATGCTGTTGCAATAGTCGAGTCTGGATGTGATGAATGCATGGATTAGTGTTTCAGCAGCAGAAAATGAGAGTAGTGGACGGAGGCGGGCTATATTTTTGAGGTGAAAGAAGACGGTTCTTGTGAGCTGGGTGACGTGGTGGTCAAAGGAGAGCTGGCTGTCAAAGATGACTCCAAGATTGCGGATATGAGGGGAGGGGGAGAGAGTGGAGTTGTCGCTTGTGAAGGAGAAGTTGTGAATGGAATTGGTGAGGGATTTAGGGCCGATAATTATTATGTCCGATTTTGCGTAGTTAAGAGAGAGGAAATTGGTGTGCATCCATGTTTTTATTTTATTGAGGCAGTTTGTCAGGGTAGAGCAGGTTTCAGTGGTGATTGAATTGGTGGAGATGTAGAGCTGGATGTCATCGGCATAACAGTGGAAATGGAGACCATGGTGGCGGATAATGTTACTAAGGGGGAGCAAGTATATGATGAACAGGAGGGGACCAAGCACCGAACCCTGGGGGACGCCTTGGGACAAAGGAGCTATGGAGGAGGAACAGTTATTGATGTTGATAAACTGTTGTCTGTCGGTGAGGTAGGATTTTAACCAGGAAAGAGCAGTGCCAGTGATGTTGAGTGAGTGTTCTAAGCGGAATAAAAGAATATTGTGGCTGATGGTGTCAAAGGCTGCAGTGAGATCGAGGAGGATGAGGATGTTGAGGAGGCCAGAGTCTGAGGAGAGGAGGAGGTCGTTGGTGACTTTGAGGAGAGCTGTTTCTGTGCTGTGGTGGGAACGGAAGCCGGACTGGAATGGTTCAAATAGGTTATTGGAGGAGAGGTGGCATTTGATCTGGGAGGCGACAACACGTTCCAGTATTTTTGAGAGGAAGGAGAGGTTGGAGATGGGGCGGAAGTTGCACATGCTGTCCGTATTGAGTCCAGGTTTCTTGAGGATAGGGGTGACGGCTGCCAGTTTGAGAGTTTTGGGTACTGAACCAGAGCAGAGGGAGGAGTTGATGATTGAGGTTATGAGTGGCGCGATGGCTGGGAGACAGTTTTTGACGAGACTGGATGGGATGGGGTCGAGAAGCCCACCTATTCATATATCTGGAATTAAGTTTCCCACACATACAAAAAAGATGGACACAAGATACGTTTAATACAATTGCAGATTGTACGTATGGAGCATCGGGACATGTCCAGGTGGCATGAGGGTCTACTTGGCCTGCCATGAGCAGTCAATGTAAACATCAATAATTAGTTGATAGAACATCTCTGAGTGCATGCATCATGATATGCAAGTGTGACTCTTGCGATTGGTTTATATTGCACGGCAAGATGCAATAGTGTTCCAAAAAAATGAGGTCGAGGAGTCCCTTAGAGGTACATAGCAACCATCCACCTGCTGCTTTTCAACTGACAGCATTATCACCAGGTGAAACGGAGGGTCACAAGAGAAGGAAAGATGGAGCAGAGAAGAGAGAATAAGAAAGAGAGCGAGGCCCTTGCCAGAGATGCAGTGAAAGTTTTTCGAAATAAGTGACATGTTCACCATTAAGGGACCTGGTTGGTCTACACATACCCAGCATGGCTAGCTGCGTAGCCTGGCTAGTAACAGATGGACAAAATGTCCTGTAGGCTCCACAGTGGCATGTCTCGCCCTGTGGAGGAATTAAATCATAGCGATAATGAGCGATCACATCACACTGACGGCAGTGTGTTTCAACCAGCCAAGTTAAAAATAGCACAAGCTAATGAAAGCACATACATACTGTACCCTACAGCTAATCATTGAACAATTGTATTATCATAACGTTACTGGGGTCAATGACAAATATCGACAGCGTCATCCGCTACTGGCAACTCTGTAGGAGATTCTTATGGGACTCGATAAAGATGATATAACTGACACACCGCCTTACTACGTGGTGTATTCATTTATTAGTGGTATACTGGTAATTCCTTACTGGTTACTCTGAAACAGCTATGGAGTGACTCTAAACTTTTGCTTTTAGCCAAAAATGTTGTACAGTGGCATGTTTTTTGTTCAACTTTGGTATAATATTGATAAATGTATGGAGACAGGTGAATTTCAGGGATCAAGTCAATAAATGTGTATCTAAATCTATCTCTATTGAAAATAGATTAAGAAAGAAAGATATCGGCTGATATATCGGTATCTGATTTTTTCTATCCCCCATATCGATATCAGTATCAGCCCTCAAAAATCCATATCAGTCTGGCCCTAGTTTTTAACTGAACGTGAAATGTAGAACTAGGGACACAGCTATCCTACACAGTGAGTGGTTCATGTGGACAGGGTGGCCTGGGATGGAATCAAACCCTTGGCCTTGATTATTATTCCAGTCCGCACCTGCTGGTACTTGTGCTGCTTGAAATATTGGCTAATTGCCTAATTAAAAAATAACATAAAGCAGCTTCAGTGTATTAAAGGAATTTAAATATACATTCTGCAGGCAGCATAAAGCTTTCATTCAGGGCTAGTAATAAGATTAGGAAGTATTTATGAAAGAGGGACAATGCACTCGGTAGTATGTTTTTGTTTGTCTTATTAGTAGTTCAGTCAGACGAGTCACATTTGCATTTGTTTGAAGTATGTATTGCAGCAGCAGAAGATAATTTGTGTTTTGGTGTCTAGGCTCCAACCTCTTTATTCCTCACAGTTTTATTTAACATGCAGAAATTTGAGGAGTAATGAGATCATATCTTTGAAAAAAAAAAGAGTTGCAGCTCCAAAGGTGGATGCTACGGGGGGGCTGAGCAAGGGTGCAATCCTGATGCAGGTTAGAGCTGGCAAACAAAGAGCAGAGGGAGAGAAATCAGTTCAGCTCCAGTTGTCTGTCTGAACTAGCTCGCAGGGGTCGCCTCAGTAATCTTCCTGGCACGAACAATTTTGGTTAGAACAAGAATTATTGATTGTTTGCGATGCTCGCCCCAAAAGGGTTTCAGAGATTTGATGAGCTTTGTGAGTACAACGGAACCAAGTTGTCATGTAGATTAATTAAAAATTAACATAAAGCTGCTTCAGTGTATTGAAGGACTTAAATATACATTCTGCAGGCAGCATGAAGCTTTCATTCAGGGCTGCCTGTGAGTTTTTTCTCTTGTGTACTGCAACAATTAAGTAACTACTACTACAAACCGAGGGCTCAATTCTTTGTTTCTAATAACGCAACATTCGCTCACCTGCAATTTTTTCTCAACTGTCTCAAAATGTCTTTCAGGAATCACTCACGTCATACTGCAATTCAGAGAAACATGGAACATGAATGATCCTTCTTGAGGCCACACAGCACCGCAGCACTGCAGGATGTAAAACTGAGCAATATGTGACATTACACACAGGAAGAACCGAGGTCCTTCCCAATTAGGCAGTGGTTTGAGAGTAAAAAGAACCTCCAGGGTTTTGCAGCAGGAGGTTGGCATGGCACATACTGTAGCGGTCGTAGTAAAAGCGAAAAACACAGCAGGGAGCAGGGTGACTTGTTACCATGAAAGCCTTCAAATACATGCCTAATGCAGAGCCAGAGGTTTGATGTTCGTGCTAAACAGGCAGCCAGACCAGCAGAAGAACCCCCGCTGATTTGTCCATGTTAGGAATACCAATGTTTTCCTTTAGTTGGACCTAAATTAACTTTCATATACAGTAGGATGTTTACTTTATAGGATTATGCAGTATAGTGTAGGATACGTCAAGGTGGCCGACAGCATGAGAACAAATGTAAGAGTTTCTTTCTGCTGATGTGTCTGCACAACAGGGAAATGTTAAATGGGAATTTTCAAGACTTCAACAGCAAGATCTACCCAAGGCATCAAATCCCCATGCGTTGACATCAAAGGTTTCCCACAGTGCATCTTTCTTGGGATATGACATATTTTTATATCTCCATGAATACAGAGAGAAAAGTGTATGATTTATAGAAACAGGTCTTGGTTCCTTATCACAAACTTCTGAGGGGGCAAAAGGTTGGATGGTCTTTTCTTTCTGAAAGGCGTGAGGTGCATACTCGTTCATTTACAAAGCTCTTATTGGGATTCCACCATGACATTTCCTCCATGTCACTCGCGTCCTCTGGAGCACAGTACACCCGGTCTAATATCTGTCTTTCACTCCAGGTTCAGAGTTCATTCTGAGCTTTGAAGATCTGCCTTTGGCACTTTAAAAATCAATGCTCTGGTTTCTTATGGCTATTTTAGAACCTTAATTGTTAACATCTTAACCTCTGATGTTAGATGTTTGTCCGTTCATTTATCTTGCATTAGATTATTTTTATCTGCTCACTCAGATTTTTTAGTCTAAATAAAATAAAGGAAAAATAAACATAATTTCTGATACCCTGTTTGAAAAACAAATGTGTAAAGTGAATCTCTTACCTGCAGATAAGGCACGACTTTGCAGAGAGTATTTCCAAAGAACCACGTCTCTGTGATGTCCACCACTAGACTCGCAGGCAGGCAGATGATTGTGACCAACACGTCAGCAAAGGACAGATTCACTATGAAGTAATTGGTAACGGTGCGCATGTGACGGTTCTTCCACACTGCAAAACAAACTGAAAAAGATGCACAATCTGTGAGTGTCCAAAGACTCGATAATGGACAACTGTGATGACACTAGTTCAATGTATTATTAAGATGAATATATTTTATACTAATAATGCACTTTCGTTTAAGCACCTGAACTTTAACACCTTTCATGGCTTCAAAGTTAGATCACACTTGAAGTCACACATCATTTTTTGTTTATTCAAACTCATGAAACCATTGTAAATTAAGAAAAGTTCAACTTTAAATGTACTGTACATTATACCTATTACTTTAACACTTTGTAATAGTGTTAGGAAGTATTTTGAAAGAGGGCAGATGCACTCGGTAGCATGTATCTGTTTGTTTTATCCATATTAGTAGTTCAGTCAGACACATTTGCATTTGTTTGAGTCTGGGCTCCAACCTCTTTATTCCCCACAGTTTTATTTAACATGCAAAACTTTGAGGAGTAATGAGGTTGTATCTGAAATCTAGTCAGAGCTCCAAAGGTGGATACTACGGGGGGCTGAGCAAGGGTGCAATACTAATGCAGGTCAGAACTGGTAAACAGAGAGCAGAGGGAGAGAAATCAGTGCAGCTCCAGTTGTCTGCCTGAACTAGCTCGCAGGGGTCCCCTTATTAATCCTGCCTTCAAGAACAATTTTGGTGAGAACAAGAATTATTGACTATTTGTGTTGCTAGCCCAAAAGGATTTCAGAGATTTGATGAGCTTTGTGAGTGGAACCAAGTTGTTATGAAAAGGAATTAACCTTCAAAACTAATTAGGTTATTTTTCAGTGATAGAAACAGGCAGACCCGTTTTTCATTTTTATTTCAAGCTTTTTCATTGTATAGGGTAGTGGATAGAGTAGGACAATTGGGAAGGAGAGTGATTTGGGAATGGTGGTTTGAAAAGGAGCCACTTGAACCCAGGCTGCCTGCTTTGAAGACTATAGCCTCCATAGGTATCTTTGCCCCCAGGTAGAGAACTTTTTTATAGACGCGCTTTTCCTTCTCTTTGTCCAGCTGAAAAGCTTCTTTCAGGGGTGCCTTTCAGATTTCCACTTCTAAGTGCCACTTCTTTTGTATTCTTCCAGTTCCTGCAGCTCGTAACTACGAGCAGATATAGAATCTTGTGTACAACAGGAGCCTCGCTTGTAAAGGCACTTGCAATCCAGCATTAGCGAAAAAAATGTTTGCTTCTGAAAGCAGCAGAAGACGAATGTTTTTGTAGAAATAAATACAATCAGAAAGTGCTGCAACATCACAGTTGAAAGAAAGTTTTTTTGGTTTTTTTTTTAAAGATTTATTTTTGGGCATTTTGTGCAAGGAGAGTGTTTCTAAGCGGCTTCTGCAACATATACATTTTCCATTAAACCCTGTTCAAGGTCCAGTATGTAACATATCTACGTAATGGAATTATAAAATGACCTTACTGTACGATCAGACATTAAGGAAACATGCTGTGTTGAAGTACTGGCTTCTCTCACAACAATGCAGCAGCCAGTATGTCCTCCTCCTAAGTTTAGATTCTGGTCCAGAATGGTCTGTTTTTGTTTTGACCAGAGATGTAAGCGGCAACCCCTCAAGGCTGTTTTGCCCCACGCCCTTTGGTTTGCCTTACAAGCGGCGAACCGACAGGTGTTGCAGTGATGGAAGCGGGAAATGGAACTGGTTCAGATAGAACTGATTCTACCTGACTTGAAAAGCCTCTGCATTTTTCTAAAATGCTCCACGAGCGAGAAACGTGGTAAAATTAGGATAAATATCAGAAATGTTAAAATGGAGAGAAGTTAGAGTGCATAAAGATTTCAAGACTGATGCAGAGCTGGCTAAACACTGAAGCTTCAGTGTCTGCCACATAGCAACCTTCTTAAGCCTAAATTCCGCCAGATTTGTGTTTGGTCCGTCTCCGCTCCATTACGGCAGTGGAGCTTATTCAATGTGTGTGCTTCCACTGACTCCGCTGCGCTGCATCTGAGCTCCGGCAGTCCGTAGCAGATACACAATGCTTCTATTTTTGCCAGTTGCCGGAGCATGGCGCATCAATTTACCACAGAAAATATCGAGCAGGACAGGAAGTCAGACATAATTTTCAGGATAAAACACTCTTTTGACGGTTCAGAACAATGACTAAATTGTTGTACAAACTACATGCCACTGATCTTTCCCAGAGACCGTGTTACACTCCCACTGGCAACGTGTTGAAAACAAACCAGAGTTTGTCCAATAGGTGACTTCTTCTAAATGGAATTCAGCCATCATGACTTTGCGTTATTACACCTGTGCTTTAAAGGTCCCATATTCTGCTTTTTCTGCTTTTATATGCCCTTTAGTGTGTTTTCCAAGTGTCCTGTGCATGTTTAGGCACATCTATGTGCAAAAATTCAAAGTCCGCGGAAACACAGCTTCTCCTACGTCCTCCTGTTAGCTGTAGCATTAGCTGCATGTAACGCTCAGTTCTAGCCCCCCTCGGATTCAGTCTGATTGCACTTTGATATAAATCAAAATGATATAAATCAGTTTGACAGCCTTAACAGCTTGAACATCAATCAAAAAGAAGTCTGTTCACTCCTACACAGTCTTAGGAACAGGTCTTTCCAGGAAACACATGTGAATATACCTGCCCAGTTAAATTCAAAATCAGATCTTTTACAAATGGATTTGAGCTTTTACTGCGTCTCAGGTTGCTTGTCTCAATATTTAGAACTTCTGTTCAATGACAGCTATCAGTTTCAAGTGCATGATGAAGTATTTTTATTTGCTTTTCTTATGTCATCAGCTGTTTAAACCCTGCAGGGTTGTTTCAGTGTTTCAAAATGAATGAAGTGGATTATTTCAAAAGGATGAAAAGTCTGCCACTGCAGCTATGCACAATATCAAATAAAGTATACAGACATTTGAAATGATCCCTTTGTGCATACCTGAGCAGCGCCGTGAATGACAACCACACATTCATGTAAGGTAATCTAGTGCATTTCGCATTCAACCTTTATTTGCCCTATTTGCATTTGTTGAAGATTTATAGAACCTTTTGACTCTATTAAGACATTTTTTTTTGTATTTATATATTTATATCATCATTTTTTAAATACTGTATCTATTTTAAATGATCTTTTTTGTCTGGTTTTGTTCAGCTTTGTTGTCTTGATCTGCAATAAAGATCTCAAGTTACTCTAGTGAAAACAAAAGAGTAACATCATTAACTTCTTTGACATATTCATTTGAACAAATTTAAGTTTTTTAACATTTTACACACAGCACACAGGTATGAGGGATTCTGTACACTTGGGTCTGGATTTTCTGCATATACTGTATAAACATGAAGTCCCAGTGAGGTCCCCCACTGGTTGTCTGAAGCAGACTTTTGAAGCCCATTGATGGAGGTCACCATAATGGAAACGCTGTCTCATATGAACTTTCAGTCAAACCTAACAACAGGCAAAGAGCTGTAGCTGAAGGTGGGTCTTCAGCCTCCTTACAAACAGCTTCATCTTTCACTCGCGGCGGTTGCCGATTGATTTTCCGGCATGGAAAGTGTTCTGGTTTCTGTTGTAAGACGGAGCTGTATTAGTCATTTAAGCAGACTTTGGTGTATGCTTGACAAACAGGCAGAACGTTATCCTGACAACATACTGGCTCCCATCAGCACTATACGCACAATGATTTATTCATCTCTATAAACAGATAAATGCATGAAAGTGAAGCTGACAATCCATATAAGATCAAGCATTTCAACTTGAGCCACCAATTTGCTTGAAGCTGTGTCGCAAAAAACAATCAACGTGTAGATTCCCCAACAATCTGAAGTGCATCAGAAATAATCGATCCAATCTCCACTCAACAAATATTAAAAAAGTTGTTTTCTTTGCCGACCTGACAAAGCTTAACTTTTTACCTTTTACAAATATGCACAATGAATTCATTTCAGTAAACCTAACTCCCACTAATTGCAATTTATTCACAAGAAAATCGGTTCCGTTTTCCGTCTCCAAAGTGAGCCGGAGTCAAGCTGCTGTTTAAGTTTTGATCTAGTGTTGAACTGAGACTCAACAGATGAATGGGAACTCTTCCAGGATATTATGGACTATAATGACAGTGGTTTTGTTGCAGACGTAAACGCAGCGCAGAAAAGGAACTCTTGCCTGGAAGTCATCCATCACTAACCGCTGGCTTCGCCTGAAGCATCTATCGTCTATTAAACTATGATGACTGTCGATGGGTCCCGAGATTGGAGAGACCCCAAAGGTAATAACAAACAAACAAAAAAAACACTGTTGTTTGGACAAGCAATCTAGTTGAATCTTGCACATAACAGTCACAGCGATTGGACACACTTATTTTTTTAAGGTGTCTTACATAAACTAGCAAGCCTTTTTTTCTGCCACAGTGTGTCCCCTATAGCTCCCCACATATCTGCAAGGACCAGGCTGCTGCAGGCGCTATCACAAGAAGGCACACAAATCAATACAGTGAATATAAAAAAATCTCTGAAGGGTGGCTGGATTTATATAAATGCAGCAGAGATGGCACAGCAGCAAACACTCCTTTCAATTCAAATCAAGGATGACACTGACCAGAGCTTTCCTGTTTCTGTTTCTGTTGTTGTTTTTCTTTTTCTTCCAGTCTGTTTGGCAAAACAGTCATCGGGTTGATACTTTAAGTACAGCTAAGGAGGAGGCTTATTATCTCATATGGTATAGGCATTGACATAAAACAAGCTCCCCATGATGGGAACTTTACCATAAAATATTTTTCCAAAACAACATTTTCAAGATTGCTTTAAATTGGACTGTGCTAAACGTTTAAATGTCATACACCAGCAGCTTCTGCAGCAGTAGCTCAGTCTGTAGGGACTTGGGTTGGACACTGGAGGATTGCTGGTTCCAGTCCCAAGTCTGGAGAGTAGTCGTTCACTCCATAAGCACTGCCCTTGAGCAAGGCAATGCATGCCAACTGCTCGGACACTCTTCAGTCATGTGCAGACCCCTTATACATCTCTCCACAAGTCCATAGGATCTGGTTTTGAACACGTGTGTGTATTTCGGCCTGTGTGTGTCTAGCATGTCTCAACAAGTGTAAAATTCAATTTCCCCCAAGGGATTAATTAAGGATCTTCTTCAACAGCTAAAGAGGATGATTTCAGAGGTTAACATAGAAATGAATTACAATTACTTTCACTGCATGGAGTTTTATGTTGATGTGCCAAAGACATTAAGACTTGTGTAACTACTGGCTCAATTAAATGCAGGTATGCTATTGGTCTAAGGAATTGTTGGTTTACCAGTTTCTGGATGAAGCTAGGCATCGACCAATGAGGAGAAGCGCTCGGGTTGTACTTCTACAGAATTTAATCTGAGATAGAAAACTCAGTAGAGGAGATTGTGGATTAATGCCATTGTGCTAATTAGCTCTGACCTATGCTTTAACACCCTTCACTTCCAAAACAACAGCATTATAGAAACATAAAAATACATACAGCTGTCAGCACTTTTGTAGGCTTCCATACTGGTGGTGGTGTAATGAATTCTACACTTTAATATTTAAACATCCCAGAGGAAGACAAGGAGTGCTGTATAAGGGTTCCAGATTTCCCAAGTGCCAATATCACAATATCTAGTTTTTTCTGCGGTTGTCTGGTGGTGTAAACATGTATCACAAAGAGATGGTACATTAACAAGCCCGTGCTGCATGCAGCTCTACAGAGTGTTGAATGGTTGGCAGTAACACAATAGATGAGTTTTAAAAATGGGGATCAGCATAATAGGCCAACTTTAGAGGCTCTTGTGAAGGATAAGAGTTATTCATAACAAGGCTCGTGGACCAGCTCTTTGCCGCTAGGTTGAGTCAGTATTATCAACATGGACGACCGCCATCAATAGGCTTCAAAAGTCCCTTTCAGTAACCAACAGGTGGCGTCACTGAGACTTCATTCATGTTTAGTTAAACTGAGCCAACTGAGCTCATTTGTTGGTGGAGTCGTCGTCTCTCAACTGGAAGGTCGAGGGTTCGATCCCCAGCTGGGTAACATGTCCGCCGTGTCCTTGGGCAAGACACTTAACCCTGATATTTCTCCCGCTGCTTCTGTGGCGGTGTATGAATGGAATTAGTTACTTACTAATGGATTACACTACGTAGTGACCACTACCATCAGTGTGTGAATGGGTGTGAATGTGTAGGTGTGACCTGCAGTGTAAAAGCACTTTGAGTCAGTCAGAAGACTAGAAAAGCGCTATACAAGCTCAAGTCTGTTTACCATTTGACACACGTCCTTTTTTTGTGCCATTATCAGGCATAAATTCCACATTCTCTGTGACGTTTCTAAAATAAAACTTATGCTTGCTTATGTCTGACCAAATGAAAAAACATTTCCTGCTGACTTCACACAGTTGATGTGACACTGTTTGGTGACTGAAGGGGGGTTCAATGGTGTCCGACTTGCTGCACTGAGAGTGAATGATGATGTGATTATTTGCTATATTTTTATGTCAATACTAACTGGCACTTCTAATGTGCATTTTTTTTTCTTTGTGGGGACTTACTACGAGCATACAAATCTTTGATGCATCATATAATTCACTACATCAAAATGCACACCTCATCTGTCTCACACAATCAGGAGCACTACTGCACTACGTGTGGTTGCAAACAAAGAAATAATGGAAAAAGGTGGACCCCCTAGACACCTCCCTTTTCCATTTTCTTATATCTTCGGTTTGCTGACAAGGAGTTTATGAACAAAATTGTGCTGTAATTGACGATTTAAAAAAAAAATAGGTTGACATGATAAATGAAGGCAAGTGTGCCGGTCATATTATGACAAATTGACCACAAAGCAGACCAGCAGTCCAACTTCTCCTGTGTTTTTTTGCTGTATGATCTTCCCCTTTTTTTGAAACCTTCATTTCTGAAGTAGCCTCCTCAGCTATCTTCTTTCTTAATTTACGGTATCAAACTGCTATTAAGACATTTTGACATTTTCATATTTACATTTTAGCTCCCTTATACAAGATACAAAAACATTTTACAGCTGTTAGCCTACAAATTGACATATATATGCTTGAAAATAGCTGTATATTTCTAGAGAGGCATCAGCATGGTAATTCAAAAGCCCCCTCCAATTTGATGCAGAAACAATCTCCTTCTTATCATTCATATGATATTTTAAGTTGACCAATAAGTCGGTGGGTTTCTCAAATATATCAAAAAACTAAAAGCAATGAAACAGACAATAAAGCAGAGTGATGAGGAGCAGATAAGATGCAACTGAGGTGAAAAAGCAGATGAGAGTACTGGGATTCACCATGTCAATCAAAAAAGCTTCTTCCACCCCTATGCACACACTCACTCTCTCACAGTGTGAAATAAGTGACACAATTTGAATCTGCCCATCAGCGGTGGTCCAACCCATCTCATTTCCAGCTGCAGAGAGAAACGGTCTCTGTGAACACATCCTCCCTGATTTATCTCCTTCAGCAGACGCACTGCTGACATTTGGACATCACAAACGTAGCCCACTGCATGTAATAGTTTGAATGTTGGAGCATTCAGTCTGATTTACCTTTAAGGAAAGTATGCGTAAAAATATCTCAAATAAGTTATTCAAAATGTTTTACCGGGCTGATTACGCACGAATGGAAACACTTAAACAAAAACTAAAATAAACTTACCTAGAGAATTTCCGATGAGAGAAACGAAGAAGACAATAATATAAGCCACGATGAGAACCCATTCATACTGCTTTGGGTGTAAGTACTCCCTCCAGATGTATCTCAGAAGTTCATCGTCATCATCCACAGGGGTGTGCTGCACATCGCAATCCTCATCCCCGGTGCTACCAGACATCCTTCACGGGAGTTAAAGTGACTGCTTCTTATTTCTGCTGTAAACCCACCGAGCGCCTGTAGTGACCGCAGCTTGCTGAGCGACTGTTAATAGAGACGAGGCAGTGATAGTTTAAGCGCCTCACGGACACGGACCGTCAGTGTGACGCTGATTCCTCCGCTGCCCTCAGCGCGCGACTACAACAGGGTCACTAACGCATGCATCTGCACGCACGCACGCACACACACACGCACGCACACACGCACACGCACGCACACACACACACACGCACACACACACTGAGCTGGGAGCTACTTTTGACATACACACTCCCCTCAAAGATAAGAGGGGATTCAGATGGGGAAATCCCGAGTGAAGAAAGAGGATAACAGAGTCCTTCTCCTGGTTGGGTGTGAAATTGTCACTTAACAGCTGATATTTATTATTTTCCATTGTAGTCTTTAGTTATTACCCTTATTAATAGGATTTGGTCTTTTAATTTGTGCGTAATCATATGTATATTTTTTGAATTTTCTTCAGGGAACTTGTTGAACAACAATAAACACAAAATAATGGGATTTGCTATTGCAGGCAATAGAAATCAAAAGGTGCTCAGTGCTAAACATACAGCGTAAGAAACATGAATCCTGCAGGTTATCAATTACAAAATGAATGCAAAAGAAAAATATACAACATCCAAGAAAAGGTGAACATAAAGTGTCTTTTGATTTCTATACAGTTATACTGAAGCTCTCATTTTTTCACCTGGTAGATTTAGGCAAATACAGGAGGATTTATGCCAAAAACCTAAGCTTTTTTGTTGGCTGTTCGTTTATAAGCTTTCTAAAAAAATATAAAAAATGGTGTCTTGGGTGCCTGAAAACATTTTGAAAACATGTACCAGAGAGCAAACTTTTTTATAACGGCATAGACTCCATTGTTGTGAAAACAGGAAATATGCAGTTCCTCTTAAAACTCAGACTTTATGTGCATTACGCTTACAGTCAATAGCCATGCACGAGTTGTTGACAATGTTGATTGGTGTGACTGATATATGACTGAATTGATATTTTCTTGAAACATATTCACTTACACACGTGGAGTAGCAACACAAACTCATCGTTTGTCCACACAAATGTTTGTGCATTAACGATTTTTGTATGTTTACACCTCGTATGTATATGACAATATTTTTAGACGTTTTTGTGGATCCACGTCAAGCATCAAGCATCTTACTGTGCCGATGCGTTCATGCATTAATAATCCAAAGACCTCTTGAGGCCATACATCCAGTTAACCTCCATGATCAAACTTGAATGAGCTGTCATCACAATTGTGCCCGTGTAAAATTGAAGAAGTCACTTCTGAAAGCAGCGATTCAGATGTAGAGTCCCTCAGCGTTGTAAACAAAAGCACAAGGTCAGTTCAGGAAAAGAGAAACTGCTGGTAGCAGAAACACAAAAACACAACACAAGACCGACTGTGAAAACATTTCTATTTTTCTTTAAACCTATCCCATGATATCTCCCATTAGCTTTGTATAGTTTTTATTGTTTTAAACCTAATAATACAAACTGTTTGAAACTGCAGGGAGGTCTAGAAGAATATGGCATGTGATTGGCTTTAACAGGAATAAATACAGACCATCCTCAGATCAAATTTTCTAATCCTGTGTGTGTTTATTGTCGTCATAGCCCAAATGATCTGAATAAATGTGCCTATAAATTCATGATCATGACATTAATTATGGGAGTATCAAAGAGCTCAGCTGCTCTCAGAATGAGAAGTCACATTAAACTCTTATTTAGTTTGTTAAGGGTTCATGATTGCTTTCACACTCCAGTCAGGGGTTTTCCTTGTGAGAACACTACATCCAATTTCTTGTCTGTCTTGATTTCTTCATTGGCATTCATCTTCATTTGAGCACAAGACTGTTTTGATAAGCTGTTACGTGCCTTAGTGTTGTGTACGTGTGTTTTGTGTCTCTCTCTCTCTCTCTCTCTCTCTATCCTGTGTGCTCTCCGAGGTGTTTGCTTCTCAGCCTCAGAGCGCCCAGCCACACCTGAGGTAATTTATCAGTCAGGGGCTGAGCTATAAAGAGCAGGAGGGGAGGCAGCCAGCTGCCAGTGGGCCCCTCGGCTGTGTACTTCAGTGTAATCCTTCTGTGGAAGGAGTGTGTGTATTTGATTGGGGCAGTACTGTTCTTGTTGTATTTTGCCTGTAAATTTAGACTTTTATTTAAGATTAGATTCACTTCTATTGTGTTTGTTTTGTGGAAGAAGCTTGTTTTGAGTTGTATCTCTGTCTTTAGTTTATTAATAAATCTTTTTCTACAATTCACTTAGCAGATGCTTTTATCCAAAGCGACGTACATCAGAGAGTAAGAACAACACAAGCAAGGATCTAGAAAAAAGAGAACAATGTCAGTAAGAGCAAACGATCAGCTTTGAGTCTGATTGGACACACAGGTGCTGACAGGAAGTGACCAGAGGCAAAGCACAACATTGAGGGCAGTTCTTGAGAGCTCTAATCAGTATAGAAACCATCTTAAAAAAACGTCTTTTTCCAAACAAAACCAACGTCATTACCATCATCAATAATATCGAAACCATCATCATCGTCATCATTAAGGTCGTAGATATTCATGAAAGAGCTGGGTCTTTAGCTTTTTCTTAAAGGTGCAGAGGGACTCTGCAGATTGAATGGAGTTTGGAAGTTTAAAATTTGTTTATAAATTCTAAACAGTTTTAGGACTGATGTGGATAAAAACATATTATAAATAATAAAAGATTAGCATTTATTAAACATTAAAGTCATAAAGATGCAGCTTTACAGAAACAAGCCAAGAAAAACCAAGTCAAATTCCTTGTATGTGTAAATGCACTTGGCAAAACCCACAATTCTGATTCTGAAGAGAAGAAACTTTTTGTGTAGCATTCAGGGTTTACATAAATCTTAAAAGGTTTTTTAGTTACAGCTCTTTCACTGCAATTTTATCCTGACGGCAGTTTTAATTTAGTGTTTGAAATTAATTAAACAAAGTTGCAACAAAAGGCTCATTGTTTGAATATCAATCATACTTCATCTATAATTTCCTAACAGTACTTTTTTAATTGGTTTATCTCCTGTTGTCTTTCCTGAAGCCCCGCCAATTAATTTCCTGCTTGGTGCGTTCAGGGCCTTAGGTGTTCACTGTAAATATTACCTGTAATAGAAGTTTCCCAATATGAAACCTTTTACACTAATGATCCACACTCTTTTGACATTTCTGTGCTTTTGATCAATATTCTCAAGCTTCCCTAAGCGCCCCTACCCATAATAATTTATTAAGAGAAGAAGATGTGAGTAAAAAATGACATGTATGGATATAAAGACACAGATTGAGATTCTATTTACTGTATAAAACAACTATTATCACATTCTTATTGTTTTAAAGACATTCCTGTGATGTCATGACAGTAATAATGACCATTAATGTCTCACGTCTGTGTGATTTGATTGGTTGGATTGATTAGTTGCAAGTCTGATTACTTATTTTTGTGACACAAACAAAAGTTAATCGTATAGTTTCTAGTTTATGAGTAACTCCAAGTGTCAGACAGGCTTTTTGGGAGAGGCAGTAAATTCTTGTGTTCTAGTATTTTAAAGCTAATGACCTTATTATGGAACACTAGTCACACAGGGCCTTAGGATCCATCTGTTCTAAGTACTTAAACCAACCACCTGTGCTTTATTAGGCTGTTCTCTAGCTGCTAGCTGGCAGCACCTCTACTTACCTGTGTTCAATACTTTACCACTGAGTTTCAGACGAGGCAGTGCCTGCTCATTTCTGCTCAAAGACTATATTTTGTGACTCCACAGATGCACTCTGTGGTGACTAGTTGTATGAAGCACAAAAATCATTTTGCTTGGGTTTTACTTTAAGTAAGATTCATCCAATTATATACTCAGGATAATTCTTGTTTATCCTGTTGTGATGTGAGGCCTTTTTCTTATCAGCCCTTGTTATTTCAGCTCCAGACTCCAGGCACTGAAATGTTCATAAATGGGAAGTCCAACATAAAGATGATCACAAATGAGCTATGTGGTTCTCTGGTTAGAAAAACATTGAATCAGCACTTTGTGAAGACATGAAACCCTGGACAATTACATTAACACTTATTAACATTAAAGTGTCCCATCAAAACATAAAACAGCTTATAATCAAAGATGGTATTATTACTTTTGCAATAGTTAGCATTGTTTTGAATGATCCTTTAATTTATTCCTCGTCATGTAGTGAATGTTTAGTATATCAATGCTGAACAAATGATAATCTGGAAGAAATGACTGGGAAAGACTCCTGTGGCTTCTCAGACTAACTATAATATAGCTGTGGAAATTGTGTAATTACATCCGTCTTCTAGTTTATCACTTGGCATGATTTGCATATTGAGACTCTTGATTCTCTTTCCTGGATACACCTTGACTGCCTGTTTAAGCATGTCCATCCTTGAGGACGCAGGGCCTCCCGCACAGGAAAGTATAGAGAGGAGCTTGTTCGTTATGCTTTTTTCTATCTTTATTGTCACCCTGGGACTCAAGTAGAGTAGTTTAGATTGATTCTCAGGGTTTTAAAACATCACTATGATGTACCGTTTTACTGTTTAAGCCCTAATCTCTTAAAGGGCTAAACACCCTGAGCCAGAACTTTCCAGAAGCCTCTATGCACAAGGTAATCTGTTGCTGTCCGTGAAAGAAACCTAGAAAGTAACCCCAAAGTCAGAGGTGTGGACTGGAGCCACATGACTTGGATTCCAGTCACAGATTTAATGACTTTGCATTCGACTTGATAATATCATAAACTTGGACTTAAACACAGATAACTCTTGACTTCACTTAGACTTGAGCCTTATGACTCAAAATAAAGATTTAAATGTGTTATTTTATGGCTCTATGGTTTCCCTGATGCAGAAAATACTTGGAAAGTGATTCGGGACTTACCTGTGACTTGCAAAACAACCTCTACGCTGAGGAACATCATGTATTGCTCTTGTCTGGGAAGTGAAACCTTACTAATATGTACATGTTCAAGCTTGAATCATATCCAAGTCATGAATAAAAG